GGCTTCCAGATACACACGAGACCATCAAGAAATGGATTATGCGGCAGTACGAAGGTCAGAAGGAGAAGGTCAAGCAGCGCATCCAGTCAGCAAAGTCAAAAATTCATATCAGCTGCGACCTATGGACTTCCCCCAACTCTTTGGCCATCTTAGGCGTAGTTGCTCATTACGTTGCAGAAGACAGTCAGTTGGAACACCATGTCTTGGCTTTGAAAGACATCGACAGTGAGCACGACGGATATCACCTGGCAAGGGCAATTTTGGAAGTGGTTGATGACTGGGGTTTGCTTCAACCTTGGATATTTTGTGATGGACAATGCAGGCAATAACGATACAATGATGAGATCTCTTTCCCTTGGTAAGTACGGCGCACTGTTTTTTCTGACTGGCCCTAACATCTACAGGCCTTCTACGTCGATATGACATTCGATACGATCCCAAATCTCACCGACTCCGCTGCCAAGGTCACATTATCATCAACCTTGCCGCCAAAGCTTTCCTCTTCGTTACCGATAATGAGAAGCTCAAAGACGACGAACGTGATGGGCATAATGTGACACTAAAAGAGATCGAGGCGTGGCGGAAAAAGGGTCCCCTTGGCAAGCTCCACAACTTCGTGGTTTTCGTCCAAAGTAGTGTTCAGCGTCGCCAAAAGTTTCTGGCCATCAGCCATAATCGCAAGCTTGCGCGAGATAATGACACGAGGTGGAGTTCGTGGTACACCATGCTACGAGCGGCCTTGCATCTTAGAGGCGCAGTCGAGGATATTCAACAAATGGGTGGAAGGAGATTGTGCCGGAGACGAGCTCTCCCGAGGAGTGGGTCATCCTCGAGAAGATCAAGTCTTTCTTGGAGAAGCTTAAAATGACGACAAAGGCCCTTGAGTCATCGTTTGCAACTCTTGACAATGTTCTCTTGGCTATGGACTTCGTATTGGCGCAATTTGAAGCAGGAAAAGAGGCACATATCGACGATCCGATTATGGCACCAATGTATAACTCGGGCTGGGCGAAGATGGATAAGTACTATTGTCTTACTGACGAATCGCCTGCCTACGTCGCTGCGATTGTGCTTCACCCTTCGCATAAATGGCACTACATACACGAAAACTGGAAGAAGGAGTGGGCTGACTCGTCAAAGAAGCTGATGGAGACACTGTGGGATGATTATAAACCTGTGGAGCCGCCTTCTCTATCTGAGGTTCCGTTGACGACCACGAACGAGTTCTTGAATTGGAGAAACAAGCACCTACAACCAGCACTTATCACAGACGAGTACGAGCGATATTGTAAGTCTGAACGGGTTTATGGGTTCACAAGCGCCCTCGCATGGTGGCTGGAGGAAACACAGCAAAAGAACTACCCATACCTGAGCAAAATGGCGGTGGATATACTGTCAATTCCCGCAATGTCTGCTGAGCCCGAAAGACTCTTCTCTGGGGCAAAAATAACCATCACAGACCGTCGAAATCGACTTGGGAGTGATGTAATTCAGGCATTGGAGTGCTTGAAGTCATGGTTTGGGATACAGGATTTTCAGGGTGACGATATTTCAGCAACGACGGTTGAATAATGAGGGTCACGTGGGATATACGGGATATATTGTTTTACTGGCAATATATTGGGTCACTGGCAATACAATACAATATGGACCAATGCCATATTGCGCAATACAATACGCACCTCTTGACAGTACAATAATATTGCGAGGGGTCCATATTGCCAATATACGTATTGTTTATATTATTAGCAACACTGAGTCAAAGAGACGTAAGACGCATGCAAACCATGGCGCCTGAACTGGGTTGCATGCACTGCCAGTGACGTCGATCTACTAAATGGCCTCATAACCGGGGGCCAACTGCATTCACCAGTTGGAGACGTGCCGTCCCGCCCACGCTACTCTAACTAGGCCGTGTTAACGTGGAGGAAGCCCACCTGCCTCGTACAGGTAAACCATCGTATCATTTGTTAGCCTAATCTCAAGGCGATGATGGTGTAACCTTACTATGCACAAAGCACCCCATCGCCACCTCACTCTAGGCATGTCTGCCCGTCTTCAAAGCGACTAGACATCGTCCTGTGGCTCTCTTCATCTAAGCGTTACTTTCCAAGTACCAACATTCGCCGCTATGACTTAACATTATATAAAGCACGACTTGTTCCGGCAAGCCCGGTGCTCATATTTTCATTACTCTAAGTCCGAATTCCGTTCTCTCCACGTTCAAAGTTGCCCCATTCTGACATGCAGGACGAGATTACCATTAAGGAGGTCACCGAGGCCGGCGTCGTGTTTGCCGTGACCACGGTTTTTCTGGCGCCTTACTTGTACTGGATGATCAGAGTCAAGCCACAAAAAGCTTCGCGTAGGCGAACTTGGGCGCTGATTCCTACGGCCTGTCTCTTCTTGGGTACCGGACTAATATTCGCCGCTCTGTTCGGCAGTGCGAGAAATGCACTCCTACCAGGCGTCCTTGCCTACCCCTTCTTCACAGCCTGGAAAGGGGTCACCATGTTATGCGTCGACATCATTGAGGTACTTCCCATCCAGGCCGGTCTAATTACCTTCCCCATATACTCATGGTTTACAGCTTATTCAAGTTGTTGATCCCTTGATTTACGTCTATTTTTCTCACGCCATTGAGCCTGGCCCCTCCATTAAGGCGAGAATCATCATTTGTGGACTAGTACTGGCCTTTCACCTTCCATTTATTGGGGCGACCGTCTGGCAATTTAGACGATCTGGTGTCGAATACTGGTGTGCTGCTCCAATGGTGTCTCACTTGACTACCGTTATTATGGTTATGGCGATATGGAGGAAGACACAGTGTTTCCGTCATTTTGGCCGGCACTCTAACCAGCCTCAGCCAGAGCAGCCGACGTCAAACCAGGGGATGCCGTGGCTTGGAGCAGTAAGCGGATTGGTGTTCATAGCATCATCTGTGCTCCTAGTGTGTTCTGTGACTGGCCGGGTGAGACAACAGTTTGGAGGTCAGTGTGGACTTTGTCTGGCGATTTTATTTATGCCAGCAGTACCTCTAGACAGTATGATAAGAGAGCACCAGAGAAAACGGGTAGAAAGAGAGATGGAGATACAACTATCTGTAGTGATAAAATTCGGCACTGAACGGTCGACAGAGCACCTGGTATAATTTTGAGGGCACTCAATTAGAGCGACGGTGGTTTACATCAATGTCAGCCGTCGTACGGGGACCTTAAGTATGAGATTGCAAATTGGCATCAAGTCGTACCTCCTATATGCCTCAGTCTGGAAAAGCTGAACCACATGCCGGGATATGAGACTGATGAAAACGATGAGGTCATCGAAGCTCGAAAGGCAGCAGCATGCGTACAGTGCCATTGTAACGGGCAAGCCGCTTTAACGGCGGCTGCGCCGCCTAGCTTCTAGAACCTTCCATTGGCTCGAAGCTATAAAATGCTATTGTGCTCTCATGTAGTAGATTCTCTTTCTTTCTTTCTTTCTTCTCTATCTTGATAGTAAACAGCATAGGGACTAGTTAGTTGTATCAACTCACTAGAGGCCTTTCACATACTATCAAGATCACTGAAGACATTGAAGACACTGAAGACACCGAAGACACTGAAGACACCGAAGACACCGAAGACACTGAAGACACCGAAGACACTGAAGACACCAAACTGAGTCCCGTCGAACTATTAGCGTTCAGCGAAGTCGCGATGGCCGAAGATAACAACAACATGCAGCCGGACGTCCTCAGCGCCCTGGTTGCCGAGATACGAAGTCTGAGAGAAGAGAGTTCCCGAAGAAACACCCAGTTTGAAGAACGTTTTATTGCCCTGGAACTCCAACAACACCAGCAAGCCCGTTCGTCTGAACTCCTAGAGCCAACGCCATCTGTCACCCCGGCTGTCCCCATTGAGGACACCCGTGTGGTCGCCACTCACAACCCTGACCCAACCAAGCGCCCCAAATTACGAGACATACCGAAATTCGGCGGCGACAAGGCCCAGTGGCGAAGCTGGAAACTAGAAACCGAGGGAAAGCTACGAGTCGACAAAGAAGCCCTTGGAGATGCAGAAGGCCACTTTATGTACATCTTCATGAGCCTAGAAGGCAAGGCTAAAGACAACGTGACCACATTTGTCGAGATGCAAACCGAGAAGAAAACGTTCAATGTTGCTGAACTACTCAACCGCCTCGAATTGCTGTACAGGGAGAGGGATCGCAAGCAGAGAGCTACACGCAACCTGCATTCGATTAAGCAAGGAGAGAATGAACCGTTCACGTCCTTTTACCCCCGCTTTGAGAGGGAGATCGCCAACGCCAACGCCGAGTATTGGCCAGATGACAGCAAGATTTCCTACCTCCAGGAGGCACTAAACGATAAAATGAAAGCAGCCCTCATAGGCTCTGACCCCTCTGCCATCAGCAGCTATGTTGGGCTGGCGAGGAGGTGCGATTCGCTGAGCAGCCAGATGGAATTGTTGGGTCAGTGGAAAAGGCCTCGAGGCAACACAAAGAGTTCGGACAACTATGACAACCACCAGAATCATGGAGGCCAGGCTGCCCAGAAACAGTCTGGCCAGAAAACCGAAGTTAGACGAGAGGATATGATGGAATGGGAACCAACTCTACAAGCATCCGCGAAAGTGAACGCTGCGCGCACCCGCAGTGATAAGAACACATATGGTTACCAATCCAAGCGACCAGAAGACCAAGCGCTGTTGGGCAAGCGTGCCAAGTGGGTCGACCAGGCCGAGATGGACGCCCGTTACCGTGAAGGGCGTTGCCTCCGTTGTGGAAGAGACAACTGCAGAATCGAGCGCTGTCCATTGGCTGCGCCTATCCGACCCGCAAACACGACCCGACGCACTCAGGTCAATGCCGTGACCCCGTCACGACCAGCGGTCACTAAAGCCGAGGTCGCCGAAGACGATACTTCTTCTCATAGCGATGAAGATTCAGACTAGGGACACGCGGCGGCTGTGAGAGAATGGGATGTGAGCGGAAAAGCAAAAATGGACGGAGAACCGTTCATAGCAGACGTCAGGGTGAACGGCACAGACTTCGTGCCATCTCTTGTCGACTATGGCTGCCTCTGCTACGGCGCGGTTAGCAAGCGCACATTTCACTCTCTCCAGTTGCCACATATACGCGTTCAGCCGCGTATCTTGGAGAACGCAGCCGGAGACGGCAAGGAGGTCAAAATCGACAAGATCACGTATGTGTCGATCGACCTCGATGGACATCAGCAGCATCGTGTCTTCATGTACGTCATCGACGATCTGAACTGGGATATGATCCTGGGTAAACGATGGATGGAAGACCAGGATGTTCACATCCATGCGAAGGAAGGATATCTCGAGATCGGGTCCAATGGAGTTCAAGTACGAGACCGACGACGTTACCAGCCTCCCAGCTAGATGTCTCTAATGTCATGGCCGCAACCTTTTAGCAGAAGCACGCCGTGACAAACGCAAAGGCGGCATTGGAGTTCACTCGGTCACGATGGCGGATATTGACAAGGCCCTAAGACCGAAACCGAAGACTGACGTAATGGAGAAGCTGCCACCACAGTACCACAAGTGGTCTCGAGCTTTCTCTCAGCAACTGGCCGACCAGCTGCCCCCTCATCGGCCAGGTGTGGACCTGAAGATCGAAGTGCTGAAAGACGAGCATGGCCGAGAGAAGCCCTACCCTGGGGACCGCTTTACAGCATGTCCCGCGAGGAGCTATTGGTACTACGGAAGACTCTCACAGAACTACTCGACAAGGGATTTATTAGAGTCAGCAGCTCGCCAGCCGCGGCACCAGTCCTTATGGTGAAGAAGCCCGGCGGAGGCATCCGCTTCTGCGTGGATTACAGAGGTTTGAACCATATAACGAAGAGGGACCGCTATCCCTTGCCCTTACTGAGCGAGACCTTGCGAACGATAGCCAAGGCAAGGTGGTTCACCAAGGTAGATGTTATAGCAGCGTTCCATAAGATCAGGGTCGCCCCGGCGACGAGGAAAGACAACTTTCAGAACGCGCTATGGATCCTTCGAATGGCTGGTAGTTCCATTCGGCCTGACAGGCGCACCAGCAGCCTTTCAGCGGTACATTAACAGCGCGCTCCAGGATTACCTAGACGATTTTGTGTCAGCATATATCGACGATGTCCTGATCTTCTCCTCTGGAAGCCTGCAAGACCACCGCGACAAGGTCGGCAAGGTCCTCCAACGACTGATGGACGCCGGGCTGCAACTGGATATCAACAAGAGTGAATTCGAAGTCAAGGCTGTGAAATACCTTGGGTTTATCATCGAGGCGGAGTGTGGGATCCGAGTCGACCCTGAGAAGGTTGAGGCTGTGAAGGAATGGGCAACCCCGACGAATGTTAAGTCCGTGAGGAGTTTTATTGGATTCGCGAACTTCTACAGGATGTTTATGCCAGAGTTCTCGGTGATAGCGGAGCCGCTAACGCGGCTAACGAAGAAGGACGTGCCATTCCGTTGGGATGAATTGTGCGAAGAAGCCTTCGAGAAGCTCAAGGACCTGTTGATCACGGCCCCGATCCTTGCACACTTCCATCCAGAAAGGAGACTATCGTGGAAGCAGACGCTTCAGGATTCGCGTCGGGAGGCGTGCTCTTGCAGAGAGATGATAAGGATGGACTGGTACGACCTGTCGCATACTTCTCGAAGAAACATTCGGCAGCCGAAGCGAACTACGCTATCCATGACAAGGAGCTACTCGCCATTCTCAGATGTTTGGAGCAGTGGGAACCAGAGCTACGGGCAGTAGAGCACTTCAAGATCCTAACGGACCACAAGAACCTGAGGTACTTCTACTCGGAAAGGAGGTTGACAGAGAGACAAGTGCGGTGGTCGGAGTTCCTGTCCAGGTTCCAATTCGAGCTCGAATGGAGGCCGGGCCGCAAGGGCGGATTGCCTGACGCACTCTTGACGGGACCAGGATATGCCGGCCAACTACTCCGATGAACGACTAAAGGGACGCATTATGAGGCTATTCCAAAATGATCACCTTAGAAGGGTCCCAATATCGACATTGTCTACCAACAACGAGGGTGCCCAGGAAATCAACTTCGGAAAGAGATCAGGATATTTGAAGATGAGGAGTTACAGCAGCTGTGGCACGCCGCACGGCAAGAAGACAAGCTTTATCAAGAACTCACGAAGCTGGTAGCAGATGGAGCGAAGAGTTTGCCAACAGAGTTACAGAAGGTTGTCAGCATTTCAGAATGCTCATTAGACAATAGAGGCCTGCTGTGCTTTAGAGAACGCGTCTGGATACCCGGTTCGGAGCCGCTACGTACAAAGATCATCCAGGAAACTCACGACTCTCATATCACCGGACATCCTGGAAGGGACCTCACGTACTCGACTCTGTCGAGACGCTTCTTCTGGCCGGGTGCCGCTAGCGATGTACGTCGGTTTGTGCGCAACTGCGAGGTTTGCGGACGAAACACCATCTGGAGGATACAAAGAAAGGACTCCTAAAGCCGCTCCCTATTCCGCAACGCATATGGAGCGAAATTACCATTGACTTTATTACTGACCTCCCACCGTCGGGGAAAGATGGCGCGACGAACTGCATGGTGGTCACGGACCGACTCACCAAAGGCGTCGAACTCGAAGGATTGAACGATATTTCCACAGAAGCGGTTGCAAGAAGACTCTTCGAACGACACTACCCTGTCCATGGCATCCCAACGGCTATAACCAGTGATCAGGGTCCCCAGTTTGTCAGTGGTATGTGGAAAAGTTTCTGTCAGATGCTAGGGATCGAGCAGCGGTTGTCGACGGCGTACCATCCACAAACCGACGGTGCAACAGAACGAATGAACCAAGAGGTAGAGAGGATTCTTCGGATATGGACGAATTATCTGCAGGAGAACTGGTTAGACTTGCTTCCAATCGCGATGGCGACTATTAACGAGAGGAAGCAACCTCCACCGGACTGAGTCCGTTCTTCTTCATGCACGGCTACCACAACGAGCCAATCCAGTTAGTTGAGCATCGAAGAACGGAAGACACGACGCAGGGGGAAGCGACAGCGGAGGATTTTATTCAGAGACTACAGGACGCCACGGAGTTTGCGCAAGCAGCGATAGCTATGGCCCAGGAAATACAGCAAGCGCAAGCCAACAAGCACAGGACAGCCGCACCGAGATACGAGCCTGGGGATTGGGTATACCTCAACTTGAGAAATGTCAAAACATCGCGACCCTGCAAGAAGCTCGATTGGCTACATGCCAAATATCAAGTGCTCGCGGAAGTTAGCCCACATGCCTACAGGTTGGATGTGCCTGGGCGCATCCATCCAGTCTTTCACGTCGACCTACTCCGGCCAGTCCCCGGAGACCCATTGCCTTCGCAGAAACTCGATCAAGAGAGTGCCCCACCGGTGCTGGTGGACGGCGAAAAGATGTACCTTGTTGAAAGAATTCTGGATGAAAGAATGGAAGGTACGCATAAGAAGGTGCTCGTAAAATGGCATGATTACTCGCAGCCTACGTGGGAACCCCTTACCACTATTCGACACACCGATGCATGGAAGCAATGGAAGAAGCATAAAAGGAGTGTCACCTTCTCAAGTCATCTTGCCACAGATTGCCACGATCCCCCGCAGGGTGGCAAACCACTCAATCAACTCAACCAAAGAGTCAAATTGAGTAGATTGACGGCTTACATCAGCGAACCTCTCGTTGAGTTGAGCAATCCAAGCCCTCGTTGAATTGATTGCGTTGATTGATGGAGTTGATGCCCTACCCTACCTATTAGTAAGCTACTTAAGGTCCTCAACACCATCAACTTCTCGTCCTTCGTGGGGCACCTCTTCGGGAAGACATCGTCATCGACTGAAGCATCAATAATCCCCTGGTAGTCGGGTATTAGCCCTGCCTTCAGCCAAGACCGAATTGCCTGGCCTGCATTGATCGTGTTAGCCTGAAGCCGGCTGCGTAGTCGTGTGACCATTAGCCCAGCAAATGAGAACGCCCTCTCGCACTCTGCTGACATTGGCGGTATAGATAGCATATCAAAGGCCATTCGAGCAAGTCTGGGATACGTTGACTCTTTGAGTTGCCAGTATTGGAACGGATCCGTGATGTCTCCGTCATCTGCGCCGATATCAACAGTCCAGCGATCGAATTCATCGGCAGTAGGTGGCCCACGACGGGTTGTGGCCGTCTGACCAGCTTGTAGCCGGTGCCTCAGTCGGAACTGTTGGAACTCGTTCAAGTCGTCAACCTTTCGACGTTTAACCATCGGAATAGCCTCGTCATCGCTGAGAATTAATGACTTATAGTCGCGTTCCCAGATGCCCCGAACAATCCGTCGTGCCTCAAGGACCCATTCAGGTCGATGAGCCCAAGCCTCCTCAAACCATTGCAGTCGCAAGGCGGGATGGAGAGCGACTGCAGCATAATATACCGGGCACTCAACCAACTTGATATAGTATTTCTCCAACTTCTTCCACCCCAATTCGACGTTTATCGCGAAATGCTCGGAATCAGGCACATCCTTGGCGAATTCCTTTGCCTCTTCCAATCGTTCAAGGAGATATTCGAATGCTTGGATAATATCCCATGCTGTTCCGTATGCCACGAGGTTGCCGCCCTTACGCACCCGAATCTGGGCATCTCCTCGAGGGCCTTGATGGCATTTTCGAAGTGCTTAAGAATATTCCGAAAGTGGCTGATCACTGTCCAGTCGTTACCGGTCAGCAGGTCAGAATCTCGGAGGCATGCAGGCATGTCTTTCTTCTTTGACCTGCTTCGGGTATATTCGAACTGTTCCAATGCGACGAGGTCGTCAAGAAAGTCGTGCAGTAGAAGGGCTCGATCCATCATCTTATAATGGGACAACCATCGTGTCATGTTATCCGTTAGAACGTCAACTGGTTTCTTCGTACTGTCCCTCTTGCGTTGTAGATCCCGAAGCATGTACGTTAACCTATCCGATTGATGAATCCAGTGGACAAGGTTGTGGAGCTTGCCAATAGGCCCCCTCTTCCGCCAGAGATCATGTCGAGCAAGGTCCAGGTCGAGTCGCTCTTCTGATTTGAAGACTTCATTATCTTTGCCAAAGAGCAGCGCTTTGGCCACGAGATTGATGATATGCCCAAAGCAGCGGACCCGTCTCTGCTTCCCTTCAAAATTAAAAACGTGTCCCAGTGCTGCTACCGCCGTATCGTTATTCTTCGCATTGTCAAGCGTGAAATACCCGATCTTGTCTTGAATCTCGAATGATTCGATCACTTCCGCCACCTGCGACGCTATATTCTCGCCAGTATGAGACTCTCGGAGTTCAGGAGCCCAAGGATGATCTTCTGTGGCCGCTTTTCCTTAGAGATAGAACGCAGCAATCCCATTAAGCGCATAGCGATTGGGCGATCTCCAGCCGTCAAACGCAAGGTGTATCTGCCCGGGCGCTCCTCAGTTCCTTTATCACAATATGCTTGTACTGGTGGTATTCTTGGAAAAGCTTCGTTCGAATAGTCGAGTGTGTCATGTGGGCTTGAGTCAGGGCGATCGAGGGATTGAGGTATTCGAGAAGACGCCGGAATCGAGGGCTTCAACTGCGCGGAAGGCAACATTCGACTCGGTGATCCAAGCAAGCAAGAGAGATTGGAAGACATCTTTATCGAATTGGTTTTTTAGCTTGTTAATGAATGCTTGCTCCTTCTGGTCATTGGCATCGAGGTTGAAGAATTGGGCAATAGAACGCTTGTTGGTTGTAGAACCCTTCGGTAACCGTCTACCTGATGGGTCAATAACATTGTGAGCATCATGTAGATGGCGCTCAATGTTTAGGGTCCCTTTGCCGCGAAGCTCACGGGTCCCTTCGGCGATTTCTTCGGTAAACACCGCTCACAGACCCAGAGGCGATTATCTACGTTAGCTTGATGTTCAATGTCGAACCCAAAGCTCCAGATCCACGATTTGAGCTTGCCGGCGCGTTGAGACTTGGTATAGCCGCGGAAGTGATGCCAGGGAAGGCATCCCACTCGAGATGGGGAACGGGGCCTGAGTCGCCTGAATCGCCTGATGGCGGCAAGGGAGTAGAAGAAGGCTCAGGAGATTCGCTCATTGCATATAGGAATGTTTAGATCAGCCAAGGCGTTGTGGAAGAATCGAGAAGTGTAAGTGGAACTGAGGCGAGAGATTGAACTTTGTTGTGAAGCGCGTCGATGCGCGCAGCGCGTCGACTCTTCCAACGGAACAGGGGGCCCTGTTCCCCGAAGAGGAGAGCAGGCTTACCTACAACGGGCCTGAGTAACCTGTAAGGTTAGTGGTAGCTATATACCCAATCCGTACCTACATTTCGCCTTGGCCACCTACCCTACAGGATCCCTGACCGTCAACGGCAATCTCATCAATCCATCAATCAACGGGAGCATGAATTGAATTGACAAGCTTATTCAGCAGACACTCGATTGAGTTGATTGAGTTGACGGTTGCTCAACTATATTGAGCAACCGTTGCTGGGATTGAGTGGTTTGCCACCCTGATCCCCCGGAAGAGGAAACGTTGGAAGGGTCTCGAGAGACAGCGTCTACGCCGCCTCTCGAAGGTGGAAGAAGTCGATGCTCGCAAGGAGATTGTGGCCCGCTTCCAGTCTGCCTTGATCTTGGCCTGGGAGCTGGCGGAGACAGATTCCTCATTGGCTCGCGAGTTGGCCAAGTGTCGAGAAGACTCCGGCCTGGGCCGAGCTCCTTCGGAACGTGGAGACGATCACCATGGCCCCGTCCTGTCTCCCACTTCACTAGCATCGTCGTTCAGCCAAGATGGACAGGAGTACGAAGAGTGGAACGGCTTCTCTGACGGGAGTGTGGCGATTATAGCGACGTTGAGCCTATTCCCAATCCGCCAATCCCCGGTACTGCAGCTCCATCGATCGAGGCCCTTCACGCAGAGGTGAACGCATTCGCGAAGGCGAATGGGTTCGGCGTTGTCAGGCGCAATGGCACGGGAAGTCAAACAAGGAAGACACGCTACGTATTTGAGTGCGATCGGTATGGTCAGCCACGCCCATCTAGAGGGTCTGGGCTTCGCCAGAGGCGGTCCCGCAAGTGCGGTTGTAAGTGGAAGGTAATCGCGGAAGCCTTGGAAGGGAATAACTATATGTGGACTCTACGAGCATTGCCTGATCCCGAGCACGGCCGGCATAATCACGAACGGAGTACGGTATTAGCCTCTCCGCGCACCCAGTCCACCGAAGGCTTACTAAACCTGTCAAGGCAACAATCGAGACTACAAGCCGGCGAGTTGGCATCCGGGCACGTGACGTGGGGGGACTTGTTCGGGACAGCCACCCAGGAACCGTCTATACGAGAAGGGACATATATAACGCCAGGGCGCTTCTGCGTCGCGAGAAGCTTGGTGGAATGAGCCCTACAGCCGCGTTAATCAAGATTTTCGACGAGAGAGGCATTCCCTATATCGCCAAGTGGTCAGAGACCGAGCCTGACCGCCTTGTTGGGTTGGTATGGACCTTGCCCTACTGTCTCCGTATGTGGAAACGCTTCCCCGAGGTGATAAGTTTCGACAACACTTACAATACGAATCGCTTCAAGCTCCCACTCTTCCAGGCGACGGGCCAAACTTGCCTTAAGTCGGTCTATAACGCCGCCTTTGGCTTGATCGATAACGAGAGGCGCGAAGGCTTCCAGTTCCTCGCTGATGGAATTAGGCGGTTGGTTGATAGGCATGCCATTCAGCTACCCAATGTTGTGATTACGGACTTCGACAAACAGTTGAAGGCAGCACTGGAAGATCGGTTTCCAGATGCTCAACAACAGCTTTGTATCTTCCATATCAACTCGAATGTACTACTTAACGCTAAGCGCAAGTGGAAGTTCGCCAAGGAAGATAGTGACAGTGGCTCCGATGATGAGCAATCGCAGGCAACTTTGACTCCGCACGACAAGGAGGCTGTCCTTGCGGCAGGGAGACAAGACGTGCCGAAGTCTCGGAGCGATGTCCCCGCCACCGTACCCCATAGCTATCGTGGTGTCCTTGAACTGTGGAAGCTTGTGGCTTTCGCAGAGACGAAAGGAGACTACGAGAAGGCTTGGGAACGCCTGTGTGACGAGTTCGATGACCAAGAGGCCATTCTGATCTACCTTTACAATACCTACTTACCCCTGAGCACACAATGGGCGCAATGCTTCATCAAAAAGCACCGCAATTTCGGCATTAGGGTGACATCTGGCACGGAGGCAAGCAACAACAACGTCAAGAGCTACCTGCTCAATGGAATGAACCATCTATTTGGGCTTGTCGAGGCGATAGAAGGCATGGTGGGTGATCAGGAACGAGACTTTGTCGACAACTGCGCAGAAGACGAAGTATTAACCACGCGTACCCACTCCAACCCTGGTTCAGAGTACCTGGGTGAGCTCCGCATAACTGCGTCTCTACGAGGGCTCAATCTCATTGCTAGGGAGCACCGTTACGCCTTGAAAGCGGTACCAAGGAGGTCTTGTCCTCGGCCAGAACCGATCGGGGACTGCGGCGAGGACTGCTCCGTGTCCTGGCAACTGGGGATCCCTTGCCGTCACACGATCTACCGCAAATTGGAAGCAGGAGAGTTCCTTACGAGGTGGGACGTCCACCCGCGGTGGCATCTGCGAGAGCCATTTTCACGGGACCCTTACCGCCGGATTCTTGATCCCAAGATCGCAACAAGCCTTCGCGGACGACCAAAGAATACAGCACAGCCTCTCCCGGCGAGTATGGCGGTAAATCGAGCGGGTAGGGCCGGTATGCAACAAGGAGAGAGCAAAACGGTGGGGGGCAGAAAGAAGGCCGTCCTCGGGCCAGGCAAGACGACAGGCGTGCGGGCAACTGGGCGCAGAAGGCGGCCGAGTGTGCGGCGGCAACGGTCCGAGTGGGAGCTCATCAGTGACGAGGAGCCGGTGCCGGCGCCAAGCGCATCCAGTCACTCAGGCTCCGGCAGGCCGGCTGTCACGTCGATGGACTCAACTGCACCGAATCCACAGAGTGAGACTGGCGCTGGTGAGTGTATTGTCGTTCAGACGAGCCAGAGGGTGACTAGATCTATGGGTGCTGCGCAAGATGCGTAGGGGATTGGCATTCCACTGTTAGGCGCCCCATCATTTCATGGCCTGCCCCTTGAGGCTGTATTGCTGCTTCAAGTCTGGACCGATTCTTATGGCTCGAGTATCATTAGATAGCTTGAAATGAGCTCTATGGGCAGTTCATGGTAATTCATTGAAGCTGTGATGAGAGTGTTCAGATTGAAGGAGCCGGATTGTTCTTGCAGACCGATGCTATACTTGGCGTTGTGCGTGCAGGGGCTCGTTCACCGCCTTTGGGCTGACGGGGCAGCGCCTTGGGTGGGGCCCATACAGCCCATGTAAGGAGCGCCCCCGTAGTAAACCGGTTGGGCCCGCATATCAATTGCCTTGGTTTATTCAGAGATATCGTTCTCAAGCAGAAATTCAATGTCACTGATTTTTGGAACAGGTATGAGTGGCAGGGTCGTGGAAGTAGCCATTGCCACGGCCTATACTGGATGGATGGTGCCCCCAGTGTTGACTTGGAAAGGGAGCATGTGCGCAAAGAGTTCGCCCGCGCCTGGAGTTTCCACGTCACAGCATTCAATCCTGAGCCAGCCCGAGTCCAACAGCAAGGAGAGGGTAATCCCTTGGCTGTGAATCCGGTGCAGCATCCCTTGACGTTCCAATGGCTCTCACAAATTCTGAATCGCTGCCAACGCCACCATTGCAGTGAGACATACTGCCTACGAAAGAAGAAGGGTTCAGACGAGATTTCTTGCCGCTTTTTCTTCCCCCGGGATGCGAGAGATACGGCTGACGTTGTTCGACGCCAAGGACACTCCTATTTCTCCTTCGAGGCGGCCAGGAATGACAGCCTTATGAACCACTACAACCGGTGTCTCAGTCTTGGCTGGTTAGCCAACATTGATATCTCCCCCTGCACCAGCCTTCAAGCCGTCATTAATTACGCAGCCAAGTATTGCAGTAAGATGGAGAAGCGGACCGACAGTTATGCAAGCCTGGGGCAGCAAATCTTGCCCTATGTCTCCCACCAGAATCCACTTCTTTCTTTTGCCTCGCGTCTAATGAACAAGCTGCTTGCTGAGAGGGACTTCTCGGGCCAAGAGATCTGCCATGTGTTACTCAACTGCGAGCTCCAGGAAGGTACCCGTGTTGTAAGAGCCGTCGATTGCCGTCCCTACGAGCAACAGGGCCGGTCGCTTCGCCTCCAGGGTGATCATGATGACGACGCTGAGGTCGTTGGGATATATGAGAAGTATCTTTCTCGCCCTGCCCTTCACGAAGAACTCACTTACCTTGACTTCCTAGCCAACTGGAATACAAGCAAGAGGGATGGGAGAAAGTGGACACGTTGGAGTCGTCAAGCTAAGCCTCGAGTGCTATACTACTTTCCGCGGTACAAGTCGAATCCGCAGCATCACCAATACGATGATTTTTGTCGGGTAAAGCTAATGCTTGCTCACCCTCATTGCGATCCCGTCGAACTACGCAAGATCAACGGTGTAGAGTATGACTCGTATGCATCTGCCGCCGAATTCTGTTTTGCGAACCACCAGCACCCTGATGATTACTATGGCACACCTAATGCCGAAGACCGTCGACCGGATCCGGATGAGTTCGAGGAAGAATTTCACGAGCCTGACCTTCTGGAGGAGGACTGGCTTGAGCTTGCCCGCCAGCTTCCCGACTGCCCACCAAGCCAAGAGATGGTAGATCTCCTGGGTAGACGGGATATCGATATCCAATACGATTGGACACCCCACGTCGGTCGCTACGCTGATCCAGGGATCGTTCAGGGCGATTATTGGCGCCAGCGCATTGCGCAGAATCCTCTCTATATGGATGTTGAAGACCTGCCTTCAGAGGCCCGCGATACGCTCAACGCAGAGCAGCGGATAGTTTACGATACAATAGTCGGACACTTCCAATGCGAGAGCGAGGAGCAGATTCTACTCCATGTTGACGGTGGTGGCGGGACGGGCAAGTCCTATCTGATCAAAGTCCTATCTTCACATCTTCAGAAGCTTGCCAGGAACCGGCCCAGTCCAATCTGGAGAGCTGCGCCCACTGGGGTTGCAAGGAACCAGATAATGGGGACAACACTACACTCTCTGCTCCGGCTACCTGTTGATAGGGCGTTTACAGAGCTCTCCCCAGCAGATGCTAATGCTCTTCAGAAGAAGCTACGGGACGTTAGGTATCTCGTGATTGATGAGAAAAGCATGCTAGGTCTGCGTCAACTTTCGTGGATCGACAAACGCCTCCGCCAAGTCTTTCCTGCTAGAGCAGCCGAATTCTTTGGCGGCATAAGCATCATCCTCGTTGGTGACTTCTTCCAGCTCCCGCCGATTGCGAACAAACCCTCTACTTTGATGGACCACTCAAAGACCTGCACGAGGTCTCTGGCCAGATCGCATATAGGGCGTTTAACCACACTGTCTTCTTGCAAAGGTCCAGCGGCAACAGGGCGACGACCAGGCTAGCTTTCGTCTTGCACTTGACGAATTACGTGGCCTAAAGCTATCCATAGAGTCATGGAAACTTCTGAGCCAGCGTGTGCAGGCCAAGCTAGGCCAGCGAGACGTAGATTCGTTTGATGCTGCTCTTCGTATCTATAGCAAGAAAGCTCGTGTTAGCGAGTACAACTACGAGCATCTCGTCCGTCTCAAGCGTCCAGCAATCCAAGTCATGGCGAAGAACATTGGTAACGGTGCTGACAAGGCAACGTCGGAACAAGCTGGCAACCTGGCTGGCCAGTTTCCGGTATGTATTGGTGCTCGTCTCATGCTAACCCAGAACATCTGGCATCCAACAGGCCTAGTCAATGGGGCCCAAGGGACAGTATATGACATCGGTTGGGCGCCTGGCGCTGATACGCACCGTGACCCGCCATGTGTCATTATGATGGTGATGGATAAGTATACCGGGCCATCGTATCTAACCACGGATGATGGGCGCGAGGTAGTACCCATACTCCCAGTGAAGCGAGACTTCTTTCTTGGGGCGTCCGCCAGTACCCGAACGCAGTTCCCACTCATGGCATCATATGCCATCACGGTTCATAAGTCACAGAGCATCACAGTTGACAAAATGGTGACCGATCTGTCTGAACGTTACTTCCAGACTGGGCTTAGCTACGTTGCAGTCTCCAGGGTCAAGACATTGGAGGGCCTAATGATCGATACGCCTTTTGAACGGGCATCTCTCCACTATGAGAAGCTACCTGATGGCAAGTAGAGCTCCATCATGTTATTCTTGCTTGAGGCTCTATAAGCCCTAACAGATTAGCAGGTGTTCTGATGAAAGTTCGCGACGAGCATCGGCGCAAACAACAACTTCGCCAACCACTGTTCCAACCTCGCTTTTCTTGATGACGTCGCTATAGTGCACGGAGAGGGCCAAAGCTCGTCATTGTCATGCACAAACCGCTTCATGGTGCGCCAGCGCATAGCCAGACCCAGAGGTACGAGCATCATGTCATAGAGATACATCCTTCGGACTGTATTACACCCTCCCCACCTCCGGTGAGGGTGTCAGCATATTTTACGTATTGTCAAGGCCAAGGACCTCTGGGAACTCCTTCCACATTCTCTCGCACCAAGGATAGGTCCAAACGACGGCGCAACCCCGATTTTCGTCGTCGAATTTGATACGATGCTTGATATCGTCTTGTTGGAGTATTCTCACGAACGCCTGAGTAGCGGTTAGGCCGTTAAGTAGCTCCTGTCTAATCCTCTGGCGATCATTATAGATATCCTTCTTCCGGAAGAATCTATGCTCGGGGTCGGTCTTCCTTATAAGACGAGACATCTCGCGAGCCCTAATAGAGATCTCGTCGGTAAGATCTCTTTCCTTGACTTGTTGGGCTGCGGTACGGCGGCGATAGATATTATGGGCAGATAGATCGAGAGACTGCCCGTGATTATGACGACCTTCAGCTACTTTGTATGTCCACTTCCAGTTAGAAGACTTCGTGGCTGAGACCGTAATCTTTACGGGGCAATCGAGCTTTTGGGTTGCTGTTTTGCGGACTCCAGCGCTTTGCGACGTGCGCCGAGGGCCTCGATCGCAGATAAAGATGTAATGGCTTGGCTGGGCTTCGCCGTTAATCTCACGCTTATAAGAGGACGAAGCCTTAACAAGAGCGACACCGTTCTTGATATGGAAGTCGCGGAGGAAGGCGTCGACCTCTTTAAAGGAGTCGAATTGAGGCGATGGGGGGAGGAACGGGATATCATCGTCATCGTCGTCGTCGTCGTCGTCGTCGTCGTCGTCATCGTCATCGTCGATAGAGGCAGCATTGGCATTAGGGGCAGCGGCGGCGGCGGCGGCAGCAAGGGCAACAGAATTGGCAGCAGCAGCAGCAGAAACAGCATTGGCAGCAGCGGCGGCGGCAGCAGCAGCGGCAGCATTGGCGGCGGCAGCGGTAGCAGCAGCATTGACAGCAGGGGTAGCAGCAATAGCATTGAGAGAATCCATCTTAGATACAAGTGTGTTGCGTTGGTGATGTGTGCGTTGGTGATAACCTCAAAATCTCATACGAAGGGAAAATTCGTTACAACCTCACAGCCTCGCAATGCGCCGGCGCGAGTGCGTTGCTCCGGGTCCGCCTTGCGCCATGCGCGCGTAAGAAAATTTGGTGGTTGGTCCTGGCGCAAAAAAAAAAATGGGACTCCCCGTGCAAATAGCAATCCTCATTATTATATGGTGCCTTCTGCCGAAAGCGCCGTCTTACTGTAGTGACTTACGCTGAGTCCCTAGGTACCCAGGGATACACATGCAATTCGGGTGGCGGGGCTTGGGGCCGTCTAGCCCGGCCATAAGGTGGGGATGTCGTGCAATTAGAGAAAAGTGGGCGTGCAAATAGCACTATCTCTAGTGCCGGGCCACTAGGGGCGTCGTACAGGAACTGAACATTTAGCGGCGGGTGGCCTGCGGTATGTGATTGGCTAGGTCTCGTATCCAGACACCACCCCGGCCATGCTCACGGACCGGACGGCATAATATCTAGGCCAATCAACATCCACGGCCCGTGTAAGGGCGGCCCGGGTATCAAAATGGTTCGGCCGGTATGTATATATATATGTATATACATTGCCCTGGCTAGATACTTTACCTGCCTAGTAGGTTCCCGCCTTATTCTCGATTCCTGAGTTCATGATGCGTGCCTACGTATTCCCTGGTCAGTCAGCAACGCTGCAAACCATATCCCCAGCGCCCCTTGATAAACAACAGTCGATCACGCGCATGTTTGACGACGCAAGGGACATATCTTCAATGTCGATTTCACTAAAATTGACACCCATGATGAACAATGGATTCGTTCCAGCGATACTGCCCTCACACAGCCGCTCGCTTTCCTGGCGAGCATGACGGCCTATCTACGATATCCTCCCAAACCAGCACCGACTCTAATGACCGGTCATTCCCTCGGGGAAATTACCGCTCTCGCTGCTTCAGGCGCCGTGACTATCAAGGCCGCGCTAGAGCTGATCAAAGTCCGCAGTATGGCCATGCAGGATGCATGTGCAGAGCAAAATGGTGGAATGGTAGCTATCATGGGGCTGGAGCAGCAGCAGGTTCAGTCGGCTTGTGATTCATGGAACGCGCGAAACGAGCATACTGGGGGCTTGATCATCTCCCATTTCAATAGCCCTGGCCAGTTCGTCATCAGTGGCAGCGAGGAGGCCCGTAAGCGACGCCCGTTCTCCATCTTTTTCCTCTTGGGCCCAGTGTTTACCCATGCATGAATACCTTGCGACAGAAAACTGCTGACTTTGAACTTTGCAGTGGAATATGCGTGTGCACGCTTGATATCTGCTGGACGAATCGTGAAACTCGCTTCTCCGGGCGCCTTCCACTCTGCCTACATGTCCAAGGCCAACGACAAGTTCAAGCTTTGTGTTCTTGCCGTCAAAATCCAACCACCAAGCTGTCCTATCTATCAAAATGCAACTGCTCGTGGTAGCACGGATCCGGCAGAGATACGAGAACAGTTGCTGCATCATATGGTCTCCCCTGTCCGGTGGACAGAGACCATTAGGAACATGGCCAATGACGGGGCGAACGAGTTCATTCTGGTTGGAACGGGAGGCGGTTTGCAGAAACTAATCAAACAAATCGACCCTCGAATCAGTGTCTCGGTATCAAAGACGGAGCGATCCTTGTCAATGCATCGACTAGTTGACATGAATTCTCTTTGCAATGGCCAACGAGTAGGGCCCCAGACTCCTTCCGAGCTCCACCTGGCCGAACTGTGGGCCCATATACTCTGTGTGGACCCGAGAGCCATCAGTGCGCGCGATAGCTTCTATCAGCTTGGCGGCGACTCGATTGCGGCCATGCGAATGGTTTCATTAGTCAAAAGCCGAGGGTTCGTTATATCAGCTCTGGACGTCATGAAAAACCCAGTCTTGCGTGACCAAGCTGCTATGATGAGGGAGTTGAATCAAGTCCGCGATGGAGAAAATGATGAGGACCCTTACGTTCCGTTCTCGCTGCTGCCTTTCAACGCATCGGATGTCGACACGACGATAGTGCAGGCAGCTGAAGCGTGTGGCGTGGACGTGGACCAGATTCAGGACATCTATCCCTGCACGCCTCTTCAGCAAGTGCTCATGGCAGCCACGGTCCAAGATCCCAGCAAATACATAGCAAGGTTGGTTTATGAAGTTGGCGACACGATGCAGAGCTCCTTGTTACTTCGAGCCTTTGAAGTTACCTGCCTGCGGATAGATATTCTGCGTACCCGCATCGTCGACACCTTGAAAGCGGAACTTGTCCAAGTCGTCTTGACAGAGACGGGCTCAATCACAGAATGGCAGCATCTAGAAGACTACCGTGCTTCGCACAAGCCGATCCTGGGCCTAGGTACTGCCCTCGTGAGAGCTGACCTGGTACAAATCTTCTCAGATTCACGAAGCCGTCGACTTTTTATTCTCTCCGCGCATCACGCCGTCTACGATGCTTGGTCTTTATCTCTCATCCTTGACCAACTCTCTTCCGTCTACCGTGCGTCTTCACCCCCACCGGCAGTCGCTTTCAGTCAGTTCGCAAAGTACGTGAGGAAGAATCTGGACGCCGAATCGGCCCGTGAGTTCTGGCAGGAAACGCTGCAAAATACGGAGGCCACAGCGTTCCCCAGCGTCCCAAAGGCTTCCTACAGTCCTTCGAACCAGCAGACGTTCAACCACCGCATCGCCGACGTCGCATGTCCCCCGGGAGGAGACATTATGTTATCGACCGTGTTGACCACGTCTTGGGCCACAGTTGCCTCGCGCTACTCGGACTCGGACCAGGTTGTCTTCGGCATGGTCAGTAGTGGACGTCAAGCCGCAATGCCAGGCATAGAAAGCGTCCTCGGACCAACCATCGCCACTGTACCTGTTCGTGTGCACGTGCCGGTTACAGAAGCCCTCTCGAGCGTGTTGCGGAGGGTCCAGGCAACTTGTCTGGCAATGATCCCTTTTGAGCAGACGGGAATCCAAAATATCAGAAACTACAGTCCGGGGCTGGAACGTACTTGCCACTTTCAGACACTGTTGGTCCTACACCCACCCCAGAAAGCCAACAATCATGATGGGCATGATGGGCATGATGGCCCGCTCCTGGTGCGGGCCAAAAGGGAAGACAGCCTCATCAAAAGCCTCACCCATGCGACAGATGACTTCGGAACCCAAGCCTTGTCCATTCAGATCTTCCTACAAGAAACAGGCTGCGTGCTTGAGATAACGCATGATCCAAGCGTACTCAACGGCCACTCCGCCAGGCGGCTCGCGAGACAGTTTGAAGCAGTTGTACACCAAATAATTTCATCGCTGAGGGCCAAGGCTAGTCACGAACTTCCCATGGGACGACTCTCTCTCGGCAACGACAGGGATACCTGCCAGATCTGGCAGTGGAATGCTGTGGCACCAACTTTGATCAAAGGCTGTGTGCACGACATGGTCACCGAAGCCGCCGCCAAGTATCCCCATAAGGCAGCTCTGTGCTCTTGGGAGGGGGAATTGACTCACCGGCAACTCGACAACATGTCGACGCGACTGGCCCACCACTTGGTACATCTCGGTCTGAGACCTGGAGCCATCGTTCCGCTGTGCTTCGAGAAGTCCATCTGGACCGGGGTCGCCATAATGGGAGTCATGAAGGCTGGTGCTGCATCAGTGGCCATGGACGTTGGCCAGCCCGTACAACGGCTGCGACAGATTGTCAACAAGGTTGATCCGCGGCTCGTTCTGTGCTCGGCAAACGCAACAGACCTCGCGGTAGGGCTTATTGAGACTTCCTCTTCTCGTCAGGCTCTGTCCGTCTCGGCCGATCTACTGATAACGCTGAGCTCGATCCCGCTCGCGTCACCATCGCAATTGCCCAGGTATGCCGCTCCACAGCTCTTTGGTTCCCTTTTCGTGGTCTGGTTTCGTAGGAAAGCTGCTTAATGTCATTGCAGTATCGATCCTTCGAGCCCCCTGTACGTCGTGTTTACCTCAGGCAGCACAGGCGTACCAAAGGGGGCTGTCATCTCGCATGAGAATTTCTGCAGCGCCATTTATTACCAGCGGGAGGCCATGCGGTACGGTCCAGGCTCGCGAGTTTTTGACTTCGTCTCTTACTCCTTTGACGTGACATGGCCCAATATCCTGCAGACGCTTACGGCAGGGGGCTGCGTTTGCGTGCCTTCTGAGGACGAACGAAAGAATGACATCTCGGCAGCAATCAGGCGGCTGGGTGCTACCGCCATTCACGTGCCCCCCTCCGTTGCCAGGCTGATCGACCCGGCAGAAGCCCCGGCTATCGAGCTCGTCGTCCTGGGTGGCGAGCCTGTGGCCCTGTCTGACGTGACGCGGTGGGGTACTGGAGTTGAGGTTGTACAGGTGGTACGCTTCTCTGAGAGTTCTCTTGTTGTCTTCGGCCTCGTATTTTGTTACTGACTTCCCAACCGTACAGTACGGTCCTGCAGAATGCACACCACCAGTCATGGTGTCGTATAACGTTTCGAGTGGGGACTCTATGAAGAACATTGGTCGCGGCTGCGGCGTCGTGCCCTGGATCGTCGACGTCAGCGACTGCCAGAAGCTCGCCCCTATAGGTGTAATGGGCGAGCTCGTTCTCGAGGGGCCCTTGGTCGGGTTAGGCTATCTTGGAGAGCCAGAAAAGACGGCAGTGGCATTCCTGCAGGATCCGGTCTGGCTTGTCCGCGGGTGCCCTGGCCGGCCGGGGAGACCAGGCCGCGTCTACCGAACAGGAGACCTGGCAAAGTATGACGCAGACGGTTCCATTATGTTCATCGGCCGGAAAGACGCCCAGGTCAAAGTCCATGGCCAGCGTATCGAGCTGGGCGAAGTCGAGGTCCACGTGGAGAAGATCCTTCAAGGCCAGCCCTGCCAGATAGACGTCATGGTGGATGCAGTGACACCAAAGAACAGCACAACTGCCATGCTCGTCGCCTTTATGGTAGTCGGCAGCGGAGCTTCCTCCCTTGACGACAGAGGAGGAAGCCATACGGCGGCTTCGCTCCGCGACATCAGTATGCTCCTCAAGCAGGGACTTTTGGAAATGCTACCAGTGTATATGGTGCCGACTGCGTACATCCCCATCGAGAAGATGCCAGTTACGGGGACAGGCAAGAAAGACCGCCGACGACTACGCGAGATTGGAGCCAGTATGACGCTTGAAGAGCTCACTTCGTACAATCCTGACCGGCAAGAGAAACGCCAGCCAGAGACCAAATGGGAACGCCGGCTTCTACTGATGGCTTCCAAGATCCTTGGCACTAGAACCGATAGTATTGGTGCCGACGACAGCTTCATTCAGATTGGTGGTGATTCCATCGCTGCCATGAGACTGGTGGCACTGGCCCGGAACCAGTACAGGGCAACTCTCACCGTGAACGAAATCTTCAAGCATCCTCGGTTCAGTGTCCTGGCGCAGCTAGTAGAAAGTCGAATTGCCAGCAGCACAGAGGACATGGCGGCGATGAGCGGCATGATTCAACCAGGGTCAGATATTTTACGAATCTAATCGAATCGAACACTTAACTCGGCCTCCGTATATTCGGATCGAATGGACTGCATCATTCTTGGGGTTTCGTAGATTCGATCGAATTTATGACTAATCCCGGTGAAGGTAGCACCTCGTGACTTCAGATGAGACGGGATCGATAGTCGCCATACTAAAGTCGGGGGACTTTATTCCGGGGAAGTCATAAAGTAATAAGACTTTGGAGAATACCTTTGCTCGACTATGTAGTACCATGCCCCACCCCCCTTTCGGTAACACCCACCTTTCGGTAGCGCAATTGAAAAATTCTCCACCAAAAGTCTACCATTTGAACTACATGAAATATGATCAGAACTTAACATTATAAACACAAAAATTATATCATTCCGTAGAAATGGACGCTCTTATATGTACCGGCGCTTTTTACCATTCGCCCGGATCTGGTGGTGACTGGAAGGGCTTCGGTGCCACCTTGACTTCGATCACTGAAGCTGTCTCCACCTCTGAGACCGCCTCCTCCTCTGTGTCAGAATTCAGCACAACGGCTATCTCTTGGCTTTTAATTTGGGGAATGGCTTCCTCAGCCACCAAAGCTTCACTGAGAGTCATGAACCGTCTGTTCGGGTTCGGTGCTCTCCTCTTCTTGCCTCTCTGCAGCCGGGCCACTTCTTCCTCTAGCTTCGCGATTCTGTTGCTGTGCTCGGCAAGCGTCTGTTCTTGGGCTTCAAAGCCTCTAGCTATCACGGCGTATCGTCTCCGGGTGCCAGGAGTCTTGTTCTTTCCGAAATCGCGAATCTGGCGGCTGTTTCTTGGCGTATCATCAGAACCCAAAATGGCGCGGACTTTGGAGACGTCTCTACAATGTCCGCGTGAATTTCTGGATGCCGCAATGCCTTGGATCGTGAGATCGGCCAATTCCCAGTGACCCTCCAGCCGGACAATATATTCTTTGCCGTCATTCCAACCTCGCGCGCTTTAGCATATGCCCGTATAAAATTGACCTTATGAACAGGCGCAGAATCGGTCAAACAGGTCAATTTCTGAAGTTCTTTCCGGTAAGCTGCCTTGGAGGCATTGAATACACCGTTATCTAACGGCTGGAGGCCATGAGAGCAGTGGGCAGGAAGGTAACAGCAATAAACGTTGTTCAAAAAGCATGTGGCCATCCATGCATCCTGGTCCCGGTTAACGGTAATTCCTACAGAGGTGGATAAAGAAACGCACCGTTGCATGACTTCCATGTCCATCTAATATGATCAGTCTAGCATCTGAGGCATCGGCTGGTCGCGTCTGGGGCAAATAGACCCTCTCAAGCCACTCAATAGCGATATGGTTGTCCGTCCATCCGTTGGGCGACGTTATGTAATGCCAGTCGGCTATTTTGCCGAATTCCGTCAAGAACCACTGTTTCTGAAGTTCTTTGCCCTTAAAGATAATGCCAGGGTAAGGACACGGCCGTCCGCGGTGATAGCTTCAATAAATGAGGTCCAGTTGCGGGACTGTGGCCCTTTCAGAAGGGCCTTCCGTTTTGGGTCTGCACTCCCAACCACAAGACTATCCAAACCTGGCAAAAGAGTCTGGTTAGTAAAAGTAATGAAAGACAAGCCAAATACTCACCAAAGCCAGACATAATACCGCCTTCGTCAACATTCACGGTATTTTCTTGTTTAATCCATCCATACTCCTTTTCCTGATATCGAAGAACCAGTGAACCGCACGAGGCGTAAAAGCATTAAATCGGTTAGCTTCTGACGTCTCCCACGCTTGTTCTTGATGTCCGGATGGCGATTGATGAATTTAGAGACCCAGTTGCGCCCCACTGTCCGCTCGTTGTTCAGTTGCTTCATAAGAGCCTCCACACATGCGCGGATCTGACTGTGGGAGGGAGCATAGCCGAGAGACTCTTGGCGGAGGATCCAAGAAACCAAGCGAGCTTCCTGAGACTTACTCAAGAGTTGACGAGGCTGGATCTGATCAGCCAGGGCTACCTGGCCTTTGAGTCTGTCGGAAATAGACTGCTGAGGTATGTCATACTTTTGGGCGGCGCGGTACTGCGACAAGCCGTTTTTTGTGACATCAATTATCGCATTAGCCATAATATCCTCCGTATAAATACTCCGAGGCCGCTTTAAGGTCATTTTGGTCATGTGGTGGAGGAATAACGAGAAGAATCATCGTCAGGAGGCGGAAGGAGATTAGGGGGTTGGATGGTAATTTCGCGTGCAAGGTACGCACAGGCCACAGACCCTGTACAAACATTCAACCATCGAAAAGTAGAATTCAATCAATCCTCTATCTACTCCAAGTGACGGCTTGTGAATATCTTCAAAGCTGGCTGGAATCGGTGTAAGTGAAATTGATGGGTTTTGGTGGGGATATTTCCTAATGCGCTACCGAAAGGTGGGTGTTACCGAAAGGGGGGTGGGGCATGGTAATGCAGAGGCTAAGCTAAGCAGCTCCCGTCATGGGGGAGCAGGCTGAGGCCGTGGATCCTGGTGGGGCAGGACACCCCTCCTTCGACGCCAACGACGTGAAGCCAAGCATCAACCCTCGAAGACACGGTGGACAAGACAAAGAAAGGGACCACCGGAAATGCCACGCCAACATCGGTCGAGGTAACGCTCCTTACAGGACTGAGTCGCAGTCTAATCTTTTTGTATTAACTGCCTATACCAAGATTTGAACTGGAAATGCAGATCTGCAAGATATGAGACAATTGTCTTATTAACGGAATCCACCACTTTCCCGACGTGACCTGGCGTCGGCGTCGCGAAGTGTACCTTCCACTTTGCTAGCAGTGCTTCTCTGGACCTCGAAAGCCGCCATGCAGGGGAATACAGCTTAACGAGACACAGCAAATGTATCATTATCACCTTCTTCGGCAACCTGAGCTAACAAAAAAAAAATAGCAGTTGGTCAGCAAAAAGGCGGCCCCCAAGCGCCGATCAACATTAGGATTGTCTTATTGTGTCGCTCCCCCATGATTCCAATTTGTTCGCTGCCCGTCGACTCTCCGCACACAAAAGCAAGGTGCGGTGCCGGATATCCTCACTTTGGCGAGGTCCAAGGTCACGTTGCCGCGTCTTGATGTCATGATCCATCACCACGCCGTCCGCCGTTGGTGACATAACATGCTCTTACCAGAGCCTACATGTTGTCGTAGTTGATCGATCCACTACCCTGTGCGCACGCGGCTCCATTCGACACGCCCTGGGACGTCGGCCACCGTTGGCAAGGTCGATAGCCAGGAACCACCCCTCAAGTACGTGAGTGAGCATTTGGCAAGCGGTGCAACGGCGATTCCTCGCTTGTTCGCCATGGAAGACCTCGAGAGCAAAGAGTTGAAGGCATCCGCCGGCGATGCATCCCACGATGCCTCTCCCCACGGCGACGTCGGCGACGTCGATATGAAGGAGGTCCAGGACGACAACGGACCCGCCGAGCTGAGCCGCGACGGCCACCTCGCGACCACAAACAGAAAGAGCCATGCGACTGATACGATCGTGGCGACGACGATGGTGCCGCCCCGAGCCGGAATTGAGAGGCAGGGCCGGACTTGGCGCGACAGAGCGAATCCACTGCGATGGGGCGGCCGGATCCCCGAGGTTCCAGAGGAGCGCATCGTGTCTCGGGAATACAGGGCTGGCTTCTTGAGCAAGCTGACGTTTGACTGGATGTCGCCTCTCATGATAGTGAGTCTCTTTCTACATGGCTAGTCCCGATTCATGCTTTCTCGCTCTCTCCATCTCTCCCTCACTTCTCACTCTGTGCCCACGTGCACGAACGGGATGTATCTCTCCAGGTTTCACGGACACTTGGGATGGCATTGGATCACGGGAACAAGAACACCAAAAGTGAAGAATAGATTAAAGCTGACATCCGCCATCCTCACAGACGGGTTGCAAGCGCCGGCTCGAACAGGGCGACATCTGGGCCATCAACCCGGACCGCGCCGTCGAGCCGCTGACAAAGCTGGTGCGCGAGTCTTTTCGGCGGCGGATCCGGGCCGGCGACAAGCACCCGCTCTTCTGGGCGCTGCACGACAGCTTCATCTTCGAGTTCTGGATCGGCGGCCTCTGCGCCCTGGTCGGCGCCCTGCCGCAGGTCATCGCGCCCTTTACCCTTCGTTTCCTCATCCAGTTCGCCACCGATGCCTACCAGGCTAGCGTCCAGCAGCGGCCGCGGCCGCCCATCGGCCGCGGTGCCGGGCTCGTCGTCGGCATCACGGCCATGCAGATTTTGCAGAGCCTGTGCGTCAGCCACTTCATCTATCGCGGCATGATGATCGGTGGGCAGAGTCGTGGCGTGCTCATCAGCATGGTTTACGAAAAGGCAATGGTCATCTCGGGCCGCGCGCGCGGCGGTGGCGGTGGCAGACGAGAGGCGCAGCAGCCTGGTGGTGATGATGGTGATGATGGTGATGCAGCAGTAGGAGGGGCCGAGAAACAAGGCCAGACGGAGGAGGAGGAGGACAAGGGGGAGGAGGCGGACGTGGGCGAAAAGAAGGCCAACAAGAGGAGCAGCAAGGACTGCAGCAAGGATGGCGGCATCGGCTGGGCCAACGGCAGCATCGTCAACCTCATGAGCGTCGACACGTACCGCATCGACCAGGCCTCGGCCTTTTTCCACATGATCTGGACGGCGCCCATCCTCTGCCTCATCACTCTCATGCTCCTCCTCGTCAACCTGGCGTACAGCGCGCTCGCCGGCTTCGCCCTGCTCGTCCTCGGCGTGCTGGTGCTGACGCGGGCTATCCGCAGCCTGTTCCGCCGCCGCGAGGCCATTAACAAGATCACGGACCAGCGCGTCTCGCTGACGCAGGAGATCCTGCAGTCGGTCCGCTTCGTCAAGTACTTTGGCTGGGAAAAGGCCTTCCTCGACCGCCTCGCCCAGTTCCGCGCCCGCGAGATTCACGCCATCCAGGTGCTGCTGGCCATCCGCAACGCCATAAACGCCGTCAGCATGTCGCTGCCAATCTTCGCCTCGATGCTCTCCTTCATCGTCTACTCGCTCTCCCACCACGACCTTTCCCCGGCGGAGGTCTTCTCCTCCCTCGCCCTGTTCAACGGCCTGCGCATCCCGCTCAATCTCCTGACCCTCGTCCTGGGCCAGGTCACCGACGCCTGGTCCTCGCTCCAGCGCATCGAGCAGTTTCTCACCGAGGAGGAGCAGGACGAGGACGCCGTCATGGACCCTGAGGGACCCAAAGCCATCGAGCTGCGCGGCGCCGCCTTCACCTGGGAGTGGACGACCTCCCAGGACCCCAACGTCGGCACCCTCACCGCCGCCGACAATGCGAGCAAGCCGTCGGAAGCCCCTCGCCACCCGGGTTCCGCCAAAGAAGACGGCGCCAGCACGCTGGCCGAGGAGCGACGAGACCCCTTCAAGCTGCAGGGCCTCGATCTGCAGGCTGCCCGGAACGAGCTCATCGCCGTTATCGGCTCCGTGGGGAGCGGTAAGAGCTCGCTTCTGGCCGCTCTAGCCGGCGACATGCGCAAGACGAGCGGGAACGTCGTCTTTGGCGGATCGCGGGCATTTTGTCCGCAGTATGCTTGGATCCAGAACACGACGCTGCAGAACAACATTACCTTTGGCAAAGATATGGACAAGCGCTGGTACAGGAAGGTGATTAAAGCGTGAGTGGACTCCCTCTTTCCTGCCACCGCACCTGTTAAATTGCGGAGAAAGAAGGAGGCACGGCTGACCCTGTCCGATGCGGCCCGCAGATGCGCCCTCGAGGCCGACCTCGACATGCTCCCCAACGGCGACCAGACAGAAATCGGCGAACGCGGCATCACCATCTCGGGCGGCCAGAAGCAGCGCCTCAACCTTGCGCGCGCCATCTACTTTGACACTGACATCGTCCTCATGGACGACCCGCTCAGCGCCGTCGACGCCCATGTGGGGCGACACATCTTTGACCAGGCCATCCTCGGCCTGCTGGGGGACAAGTGCCGCATCCTCGCAACACACCAGCTCTGGGTGCTCGCCCACTGCGACCGCATTATCTGGATGGAGGGTGGCAAGATCATGGCGGTCGGAACCTTTGAAGAACTCCTAAGAGACCACAGGGGCGTCCAGGTGCTGATGGAGATGACAGCCGAGGAGGACGGGAAGAACAAGAAGATGGACGAGGGCGAGGACGAGGCTATGGAGGGAGAGGAGGCGGCAGCGGCAGAGGCAGAGGCGGCCGGGGGGCCGGACAAAGAGACGAAATGGAGCAGACAGAGGGGCGCGGCGCTGATGCAGCAGGAAGAGAGATCCGAGTCGAGCGTGCCGTGGTCCGTCTACGGCGCCTACGTGCGCGCTTCGGGCTCCCTGCTCAACGCACCCCTCCTCCTCGTCGTCCTCGTCCTCTCACAGGGCGCCAACATCATGACAAGCCTGTGGCTCTCGTACTGGACGTCGGACCGGTTCGGCCTCTCGGCGGGCCAGTACATGGGCGTCTACGCGGGGCTCGGAGCGATACAGGCGCTCCTCATATTCCTGTTCTCTGTCCTGCTATCCGTGCTCGGGACGCGGGCGTCGTGGGTGATGTTGCGCGACGCGGTAACACGAGTGCTACGGGCCCCAATGGCCTTTTTCGACACGACGCCGCTCGGGCGCATCACCAACCGCTTCTCGCGCGACGTCGACGTCATGGACAACAACCTGACAGACGCCTTCCGCATGTTCAACTTCACCCTGGCCATGGTAATCGCTGTCTTCGCCCTCATCGTCACCTTCTTCCACTACTTTGCATTCGCCCTCGTGCCGCTCTGCCTGCTCTTCGTCATGACCGCCTCCTACTACCGCGCCTCGGCGCGAGAGGTCAAGCGCTTTGAGTCGGCCATGCGCTCCCACGTCTTCGCCAAGTTTGGCGAGGGCCTTAGCGGCGTTGCCACGATCCGGGCCTACGGGGTCCGGGCGCGCTTCGTCGGCGGGCTCCGCGCCGCTATCGACGACATGAACGCCGCCTATTACCTGACCTTTGCCATGCAGCGCTGGCTATCGGTCCGGCTCGACTTGGTAGGCAACGCGCTCGTCGTCACCGTCGCCATCCTCGTCGTCACGTCGCGCTTCAACGTCGACCCGTCCATTAGCGGCCTCGTCCTCAGCTACATCCTCTCCATTGTCCAGATGCTGCAGTTCTCCATCCGCCAACTGGTCGAGGTTGAGAACGGGATGAACGCGGTCGAGCGGCTGCACCACTACGGCTCCGAGCTCGACGAGGAGGCCCCGGCGCACACGGTCGACGTGCGCGCCTCGTGGCCCGAGACGGGCGACATCGTCTTCGACGGGGTCGAGATGCGCTACCGCGACAAGCTGCCCCTCGTCCTCCGCGGCCTGTCTATGCACGTGGCCGGCGGCGAGCGCGTCGGCATCGTTGGCCGCACCGGCGCCGGCAAGAGCTCTATCGTCAGCACTCTCTTCCGCCTCGTCGAGATCTCGGGCGGCTCCATCACCATCGACGGGCTCGACATCGCCACAGTCGGCCTGCACGACCTGAGGTCCCGCCTGGCCATCATTCCCCAGGACCCGACTCTGTTCCGCGGCTCCGTCCGCAGCAACCTCGACCCCTTTGGCGAGCACTCAGACCTCAAGCTCTGGTCCGCCTTGCGGCAGGTCGACCTCGTGCCTGAGGACCCTTATTCGGCCACTCGCGCTCCCTCTTCCCCCTCTTCTTCCCTCCCCGCCACCACCTCCTCTCCATCCCCACGCATCCACCTCGACAGCGCCGTCGAAGAGGACGGGGTCAACTTCTCGCTCGGACAGCGGCAGCTCATGGCCCTGGCGCGGGCCCTTGTGCGCGGCTCGAAGATCATTGTCTGCGACGAGGCTACCTCCTCGGTCGACATGGTGACGGACGACAGGATCCAGCGCACCATGGCCACGGCCTTCCGCGGCAAGACGCTGCTGTGCATCGCCCACCGCCTGCGCACAATCATCGCCTACGACCGCGTCTGCGTTATGGACGCCGGCCGCATCGCCGAGCTCGACACCCCCCTTGCCCTGTGGCACCGCCACGGCATCTTCCGCGGCATGTGCGACCGCAGCGGCATCCGCCTTGCCGACATCCAGGTCGCCGGCGACGCCACCCCGGACGGTCAAAAAGGGGGTCTTTAAAGACAACGTGTGCCTCCCAACTGCCGAGTACTGTTATTCGCACAGGCAGCAATACTTGCAGATGTGCCGGGGAAAGGCGGACATCACGCCTCATCAAATTCGACTCGCGAAGCGCTGGGCACACATTCTTCGCAGGTCGCTGTTCTTAGTCAACCCCCCGAGTACGTCCGCGCCCACACCAAATTTAGGTCCCCAGGCGGGCTGAAAAGGCTGTACGCTCGCTGTATCAGTCTGCGCGTGTAACTATAGTCTCTGTTCACAGCTGCGTTGTATAGCGACAAGAACATCAAGTTCACAGCGGAAGCGCCCATCGCGTCGTCGGCCCGACATACACGCCTCTCAATTCCCGTCATGTCGCTGCTTCTATAATTCCGACCTCTCTTAGTTGGAGTTCTGCGAGGTATTCTGTTCTTAAAGAGCTCGTAAATAGGGACTAGCATAATTTCTATTGGAGGTCTATGCCATTGATAGGCCTCAAGTGTGTGAGGTCGTTCTCGCGAAGACCATACAGGCAAAAGTGGAACGCGCTCCGACAGGTGCGCTGCAATTGACACATATCCAATGACTATTCCCGACAGTCGTACGCAGCCGCTAACTTCCAACGCGGCAGAGCGAGCAAAGTGGTTCGGCCCCCACCCATAGTCATTGCTATCCTTAAATCCTTGGCCGCCATCCTGGTCGGTCGTCGCCCGAGCGCTTCCACTCAGCGAGCCCGCGTGTGCGGATAACACGTTTTAACCAAATGCCCAACGCCTATTAACTGCTGCATCCAAGTTGTGATACGCCAAAGCAGCACAAACAGCCACTCGGCCAATTGGTAGAGCGGCGGGACCTGGGTAGCTCCCTGTCTACACACTGACGGCGGGCGGTTGTCTGCACTGTCACTCGCTCGTCATCGAAGCCGATCTGAGTGAATCATCTTCTGCCTCCTCGTTCTGCGTCGCGCTGTAGCCGACTCTCTATCACTGTCCGTCGCGAACAATTATCATCCGCTGGAGCCCGCAAATCCGTTAATTGACTCTTATGACGTCCCTGAATAGCCAGTCTTCTTCGCGCAGCTACGGCAATAGAACAGATTGTACCCGATCCCTACATATCCGTGCAAGTGTATGTCGTCAGTTGACATCAGGTCCGTCTCGCTGGCGCACCGTAGACAGACTGTCTAACCCCCCCCCCTTCAGCATGACCCGCGAGAAATGGGCTCCGTTTCGACTAATCATTCAATCCGACTCTACCCCCTGGTATAAGTGATTTCCCAGAGGCGGGTACTCGAAGAGGACATACAGCCTGCGCAGCTCGAGTCTTTGGCCTCACTTACTGTTGGCAGGTCTCTTTGCATGCAAAGGGTGGGGTTAACCGGTGTGTTGTATTTGTCTATGTTCAGCTCTTCAAGGGAGGGAGGAGGCCACGATGCTAGCTATGTGGTTACCTCAGCAGTGCTCAGGCCATTGGTCATGACTACGCCACCGGAGCGGACTAACGTAATCCACCCCCTTCCCGGTCACACCCCCTACCCGCTCAAAAATTCTCCACCGACGCGACCCGCACTTCATGGCGAGACAAGCCGAGCACGATGACGGAAATTCGAGACCAATCGATTCCACGCGTCCTGCTCGCCGTCAAGGCCTATCACCAAGGCCAATTCGACAGTACCCACAAAGCCGCGACGGCATATGATGTCCCTCAGTCGACAGTGTCTGGTCGACTGCGCGGACCCCGCCCCCGACGCGACGCGTAGATGAACAACCGGAAGTTGACGGCGACGGAAGAGACTGCCCTCGTACAATGAGTCTTGTCGATGGATGAGCGAGGGATGCCGCCGACAGTGGTCTACAGTCGCCACATGGCCAACTTGTTGCTCTCTGAACGCGGCCAAGAAACTGTCGGCGAGAATTGGGTGCGGAAGTTCGTTGGCCGCCACGACGAAATCAAGGCGAAATACTCTCGTCGATATGATTACCAACGTGCTAAATGCGAAGATCCGAAGACGATCCAAGAATGGTACGATCGAGTGGCAATGGCGAAGCAGAAATGGGGGATTCTTGACGAGGATGTCTACAACTTCGATGAGACGGGGTTTCAAATGGGAGTCATTGCGACGGCAAGAGTCCTTACTCGGTCTGACCGGCGAGGTCGGCCTATGGTCATGCAGCCAGGAAATCGAGAATGGGTTACGGTGATTGAGTCTATCAATTGCCAAGGTTGGGCTTTGCCGGCGATGGTCATCTTCCAGGGCAATATGCACCAAGCAAGCTGGTACAAAGCAGGTGTGCCCAAGGACTGGCAGATTGCCGTGAGCGACAAAGGTTGGAATTCGGACGACCTTGGATTGCATTGGTTAAAGGCAGTTTTCGACCCATACACACGGCGCCGTACGGTTGGAACACGTCGACTTCTCATTCTCGACGGGCATGGCAGTCATGTTACGCCGGAATTTGACAAGTAGTCAAGTACTGTACGGATAATGCCATTGTGGTACTCCCAATGCCAGCTCATTCCTCACATCTCTTACGGCCTCTGGATGTTGGGTGCTTTTGGCCCTTGGAAACGATATATGAGCGGAAAGTTCAAGAGAAGATGCTCGCAGGGGTCAACCACATTGAGAAATAGGACTTACTGCCTCTATACGTTGAGGCCCGCCGACAAGCACTCTCCCCGTCGAACATCCGAAGTGGATTCATGGCCACAGGCCTCTCCCCATTCAATCCGACCCGGGTTCTGTCACGGTTACGCGTTCAGGTTGACAGGAATGGCAACCATGATGCACGGCAACAACTTGTCGAGGAGGAGCAGGCCCGACGGCAGAGAGAAGAAGAGCTATGCGTCCCAAGACAGCGTGCACCACCACGGTGTAGTAAATGCAGGTCTTTGAACACAATGCCCGGACGTGTAATAGATAGACAGTTCTGAATTGACTTGCTTGTTTGTCTCTTGGACTCAATTGCCGTCTGTTGTGTTCGGTTGGTCGTGACGTGAGGTGCGGGTCGCGTCGGTGGGGAATTTTTGAGCGGGTAGGGGGTGTGACCGGGAAGGGGGTGGATTACGTTATACCTAATCGGTAAGTCACATGCGCTCCTCGACCAAGAGGACATCACATGACCTTACTAATGGCCTGAGCTTGCTGAGGTAATCATCTCAACTGAATGCCCCACGTGACCTGGCAGGTGACCTATTCCGCCTTCCTGCTTACCTCAGCAAGCTCAGGCCATTAGTAAGGTCATGTGATGTCCTCGAACAAATGGTCGAGGAGCGCATGTGACTTACCGATTAGGTATAGTCCGCTCCGGTGGCGTAGTCATGACCAATGGCCTGAGCACTGCTGAGGTAACTTCCTGCTGCGCCGTTCCAACAACATATTCTGCCTTACGACAATAAGCGGGAACGCCAGTGCGCCAATCAGTGGAGTTCGTGCGCCAGGGGGGTACCATGATTTGCCGCTTCTTAACTGGCTCAGCACAGAACAAGGCGAATACGTGCAAAAAACAACTCTTTGACTATCCGGCCAAATATTTGAAACGGCCACTAAAATCCGAAACCACCCATACCACCAAAATCGCCTCGACCGCCGTCCCCTGCCTACGGAAGTGCAGCCGCGCGCACGTTGTTGCGGGTGCGCTACGTGGCTGCAAAGATGGCGAGAACAGGCGGAAAATTCGCTCTGCTTGCGCTAGAGCCCCCCAACGGGACCCTTGGTCGGCGGGTTGACCGGGGTTAGCGCCATGCGCCAACCGGACGTGACTTAATTCAGGGCTGCAGATATAATCGTGGGCTTTAGCCGTGCCGTACCTTCCTCTCTCCACATTCTGCTCCACTTTCTTTCGTCCCATGCAGAAACCTGATTCCCCTATAAGTGCAAAATATGGTCCAGGACGAGGAAGGCGGCAGCAACCAAAGAGTGCATTTCTGTCACAGTTATGTGGATGCGCACATTAGGAGTCTTGTGGTGTATATTGAAAGCTCTGCCCCGTCCATCTAAGGAGGGGTGCAGCCGGGACCTTAAGTAGGTACCGGCGCAGGCTAGGAAAACTCTTTTGTTTACAAAACGCGTAGGGGTCTGTTACGCGTCACGGTAAAGTGACTTGTGCCGTGTTGTGACCGTTCCTAGCGTACGTAGACTCCGCACCCCTGAGTGTGGAAGCCACATTCCTACATCAACGCCGCAGGCTAATATTCCTACCCCTGACGCACATGTACCTCGTGACAATTTCCCCGTGCCGCTTTGGTTATTCATGACTCGTGATTGGTGAGCACTATCGTTGCGTTGTTGGTCTGCTGTGCTGCTAATGCATCATCGCAGTTCGGTGTTGGGCTCCACTTTAACCTACTGAGATGCACTAGCGTATCATAGAGCGTGGACTAGACTGAAGGAACGTCATCCGGACTATGGAGGCTGAGTGCGATCGATAAGAGCTAGCGTAGGATTTTGAGAGTGACAGGTCAGTCCGCAGGTCCAGGCAGCATCCAAAACACATTGTCTGTAGGTTAGTTGGTTCCCACCGCCCTACATACATTACATTCGATGTGTAGCACGTGAATGCGGCTCGCTGTGCGACTGCGGCAAAGTCGCCTCCCTTCCTCGCTCCACCTCTTATTGCGAAGCGGCAAGTTGGGGCAGTATTACTCGTCTTCGCTTATCGATATGGAAGCCAAATAGCTCACAACTGTCGCCCGGTTCTAGTTCAAAATACGACATGCTCCCATGTAGACGCAGTCTTCGCCGAAAAGGGAACCATGCGCCTCGTGTATGGGTATGACTCCGTTACAGTACTAGTTGCAAGGCTGCAACAAACCAAGAACCAACAACCGGCCTCTAAGGCCAATCGGAGGTGTCCCGCCCCTGTAGGGCATTCACTGCCCACCCTTCAGCACGAGCGTGCATCATGAAAAAGGATGTGGGGCCTGGCTGCAGTGCAATGTCTTGCAGAACAATTGCTATTGGAAGTGGAAGCACAATGTGGCTGCAGCGTGGCAGCTCGCAGAGCGATGACATCAAGGTTGTTACGAGCCCAATAAGCCACAGCGACGAGGTGAAAATGTTACCGCCGACGACGCACGAGACAGGCTGGCCGATCCGGAGCATGCTCTGGATGCGATGTGACCTTCAGGCGGAGCAGGTGGCAACGCATTCAGATTTGACGGCGCCACTCCTGCGGCTGCCGGATCGAGACCTGATGGTAGTATCGGTGTACGCAGAGGGGAAGGAAGAGTGGGGGAGGCAATGTAGATATGATCGTATCGAGGTACTATGAAGTACAACAGGAGAGAGGAGGAGGAAGGAAGGGAAGCTGGGCGACGCGGGGTCTCGGAGTCGTTGGTGATAAAGTGACCAGGAGCCAGAATCTACATTGCCAGACAGCGTCCGCTTCGAGATGCATTTCAGCAGCTCTACTTTTGGGTACATGTACATAGTCACCCATAGTTCCGTGTTGCTCCTAATACTGCAGTTGGTTCTCAATGCGAGGTGGTGACCGCAAGGTGGATGTGCGTTGCTGCAAGTGGGTGCTTCTGACTGTCCCGGGTGGTGTGAGTCATCTTGGACGTCACTGCAGCTGCAGATCGTAGCCCCGTCACATCCTCTCCCTGTGCATTAGCGGATGTTTGCCTGCATCGAACTGCAGCCACCATTGTGATGGATGCCAGTCTTTCTGCATGAACCCCGGTATGTACATACAGTACAGTACGAGCCTTTTAACGTGTCAAATTACCAGCTGTCGCACGAGAGAAGTTCAGGGAGAAGGTTGGGCACAAAAAACGCGGGGTGTCGCTCCTAGGCCCTTTCGCCCATTATGGGTGCCTGGGTTCCCGTTACGTACCTGCGGCCGATTCTGGCTTCACAACAGTGCAGCAAGTCCTCGTCTTGGGCGACTGACAGCACCTTCACTTCTCGCTGCTTGGTAACTAGTACTGAGCTGTAAGGACTGCAACCCCTTCTTAATAAGCAATATCGTCTTCACTGCAGCCAGAAAGTGAGCTGGCGCCGAGTAGCATTGCTGCCCCCAACCAGGCAGCAGCGGAAGGGTCTAGGAGCGACACCCCGAGTTTCCTCGCTCAACCCGTTCCCCCGCAACTTGTCTCTACAACAGTTGGTAATCTGGTCATGCCAGCCCTCCACAAACGTCTTGACTTCACCATCACTCTACCGCGGGGTTGCAACGTTTCCCCGCTCACAGACCAGCGCACCGGTATGACATGGAAACACGTTCTGACGAAGATAGCGCATGGTATAACCAGCACGTCTTTCTTCTGCCAATTCATCCGAAACTGGCCATGGACGAACCGATCCGCTTGCTTGGCAGTCGCACCTCGTCGAGATCTCTCGCCGTGTTCGCGGCCGCCCCTTGGTCTTTGGAGAACCCGCATGTGGAGTGGATCGTGATACTGTTGATCCGGACTGCGGCAATCCCTGACGTCGCCATGATCAGCGGCGATTCGAAAGGCTCCTCCTACTGAACAACTCGGCGAGTGCCTCGATGATTCGCGACTTGCCGGTCCTGCCCTCGCTGCCGATGAACTGGCAGAGCTGGCCGACATCGCCTCCGTCGTTTTGTCGTATCAAATCGAGCTGGCGGCATATGATTGAGAAGCGATAGACTGCGTTTTGTTCAGCGTCAGCCGTGTCGCCAACTCTCTGCCCGCCGCTGAGAAAGAGGTTCCCGCCATTGTTGTTGCGTTCGAGCCTGACGAGCGATACATAGTCGTACAGGCATAGGCCTCGCAGGCGCTCTCCACGGTGCTGATACGCCTCGACGTGGGAGATCCTGGGGCCTGCTTCTTCGACGACAACCGACTCACCCAGGGGATCATCTGTGACCCCTACGCCACTTTCCTGTCGAAAGACGTGCCAGTACAACAGGTATGTGTTTAGGTACGCCCAGGCGCTGCTGTTGGTAAATTCGGCTGGAGATCCTAGAAGAGCGACGACCTCGGCCTGCAACAGGGACGCTCCGTCAACACACGGTTCGCCATCGTCAAAAACTATATGGTCTGATCCGTGCTCCATGGGGTATATGTTGCATATCACCATCTCGTCTGCCAGTTCGGCCAACGCAAGCACTAGATCAATCGTGCTTTCCGAGTCTCGGCCCTGCCACGTTTTGGTGCCTCGCGGTAGCAGGCTGCAGAGCCCACAGTCATTAATCAGGTCGATGATCGACTGCGCTTCCCCTTGTCTTCTCGCCGTTACCTCGTCGCCTCCCCAGAGTAGATCGTGGCGATTAAAGTCACCAGCGACGACGAAGTCTGCTCGCCGTCCAGTTCCACCGCGGAAGCCCGCCACTAATCCATGCATATTGTGACGGCTTTCGTTGAGCACCGTCACACCCCGTTTGCGTACATGACCCACATGTTGTTAAGCCACGGCCCACACGTACGGAAGACATATTTAGGGAGAGGACACCCGGCTGTATTGTTCTGCTCTCCTTTATCTTCTTCAAGAGTAGAATCTTCGTAATAAAGTCCACAGCCTCCTGGCTCAGTGCATGACCGTCACACATATCTCTTACCGCTCTCGACAGCGCCTCCTCGCTCTTCCCCTCTACGTACACCGACGATACCATTAGATATCAGTCTGGTAGCCGAAGGATTGCCGCTGTCAAATCCGCTGACTGCGTTGCCGCTTGCTCCGCCTCGAGGTCACTCCGACCCAGAGCATGGTCCTGATCGGTATCATTCTCACCAGCTGCTGTGGCTTATTGGGCTCGTAATTATCCTGTTGTTTTATCCTCCTCGCGTACGGTTCAGAGATGGCCAATGCACGGTAGCCCTTGAGATCTTCGTCGTTCATCAGGCTCAGCTGCACCGCGTGTTGCTTTCTAATGTTAAGCCGCAGCAGGCGAAAGCTCGTGCACTGTTACGTGATGACCGTTTCGGCCAATTCGGGCTGAATGAGGAAGGCAAATCATCCAGGCTTTTTGAGATCTAGTAGCATATGTCGTCTAAATCTGACCCACGAGAAGGCAATTATCGGCCAGATTTGAGATGTCTGTCTAGAAAACCGGCAGGAGACTAGGTAATACCGCGCCGTGCACCCTGCTGCTCAAAAGCGATCGCATCCTCCACAGCTTTCCCCGCCAAAAATGTGTACTCTTCATCTAGTCTCTCCGTCGCGGCAATAACTGCATTCTCCTTGTTTTGTAGCTCCGTTCTCTGGGCTGCTATTTCCCGAAGAGCTTCTTTTGACCTTGACCGCAAAACGTGCTTGTTACGCTCCAGTTCCTTCATAGTCGCTTGCGTCTTCTGTCGGAGCATAGCAATCTCCTTACTGCGCCCGAAATCTCTTAAGAGCGTTGCCAATGCCTCAGCATCCAGCAAGAACTTTTCCATGCCCTTCGTGTTAACTTGACGCCGATGAACAGCGCTATGCCGAATGTTGGCAACAGAGCGGAAGAGGCTGTCCAACTGCTTTCCATTGCTCTCCATATCCGAGAAGCCTTTCTGGCGCTTTGAAAGTTCACCAATCCAGCGATTTAGCTCAACTGACTCCGCGCAATCCCATCCACGTTGGTGAAGAGTATCAGGCATCACTCGTTTTCCAAACTCGAAGCAAGTCTCTTCCAAAACATGTTGCAAGTGCACCAAAAGCTGGTGCTGAGTCTTGGAAGGGAGATAGGTCGGCGTCGCAGTCTCGTAGGGTCGATGAGTGACGTCTCCATGGGCAGGCGGCAGCGGGACCAAGCCTGCACCGGTTTGCGAGATCATATAATCGTGTTTCAGGGTACGTTCCGTATGGGAAATATCTGACGCAGGATACCGCGCCCGGAGCTCGGTCGGCTCGACCGCCAACTTGAGCTGTGTGACCTGCGTCTCGACGGAAACATCATGCGAATCCCCATTCACCTCCCGAAGGTTATTGCCATTTTCAACCAACCTTGATACATCTCTGGTGAGGGCATATGGGGCTCGTGCAAATAGGTCCAACGTCCTAGGCGTGTTGCTGTTGGTATGGTTCGTTTGTGTGGAATCGTCGTTTTCGCACCCTTCGTCATTGAGCGGCGGTCGTGCACCTTGGCCCCTGCCTCGTACAGGAGTCGTTTCGAGTGCGGCCACTTGCTCCTCTGTCGTGCACAGTTCCATTGTCGATGCTTCTGACTGATAGTTGTTGCCGTGCTTGCTCGACGACTCAACCGACTGTACGTACCGAATATGTCAGTTTTCATATGTGAGACCTTCAACTTGGCAGCATACCTACAGAAAGCTGTAAGGTGTGACAGTCAAGAGCTTGTCGCCAGTGAAGCGCATCCGGAATTCGATCATCGCCCGACCCCATCCAATGGTGGACAGTTGCTCGCATAGCAACACTGACAACGTTAATGACATCCACTAGGGCATCTGTAAGTCCTAGTAATCACTGAGAATACCCATGTTAGGACAGTCTCAACTCACTGTGGTTCGAAGCTATCAACTCATTGTGGCTGTAATAAGGCGACAACTCTGATACCAGCTTCTCGTGATCGACAATATTCGCAGGAAGTTCATCCGGGGAGTACATCCAGCAGACGCGCGCATAGACGTGAGACTCGTCCGATGCCCTGATCTCGAGGATCTTGGCCACCCAACAGTCGGCGAGGCCCAGCACGCGTCGATGTTGAGGATCCTCGCTAGCAGCCTCTTGTCGTTCAACACTTTTGTCATTGGCAATGTACACGAAATCGTCGCTGTGGTACTTGACATTGTCTACTGTTGGGAAGACTTCAATACCGAACATTTTTCCTGTGAAGCAGTGAGAAGTTCTAGGATCGCACTCACAAACAAAACTTCTGTAGCGGGTCATACCGGACCATCGCTTGTACGGCTTGACGGTATACAACGTGTCCAACGACTGACACGTCTTGAACTTCCCAATGGGCTCGAATGGCGACACCTGGACGAGATATAACCTGCTTTTGTTTGGAACGCCACGCTTACGCTTTTTGGAAGCTTGGTCCAGCTCCTCACAGGACCGCGCCGCGATTGTGGCCACAGTGAAGGGGCATTCTGCGCGGTTGTTTTCGATGGCGCGATGTCTCTTTCTTCCCGAGCTCATGACCGACACTACTGTCGTGCGATGGAAATTCCGGGCGATTGCACGCGTGCGTTGCCGATTGCAGGCACTGTCAAGTTGTCTGCTGCGGTGGTGTTGTTTAAGGTTAGGGGCTGAGCTGGATGAGATTTGCTAGAGATCCGGCCACTTCTGCCTCAACAAGACCAGGCCGCTGCCAGGTTCTTCCGAGCCTCCTGCTGGATAACCCGATCACGTTGCCATGTACCTTTTGGGTTGCCTAGGTGGTCGGGAGCCACTAAGGGGACATGCCCTTAATGTCCCCTTAGTGGCTCCCGAAGGGCCCCGCCAACGGGTAAGCAAAGCTCTAAATTTGTGCTACGAAGTGACGAAGTACACGCAGTGCGCAGATTCAGCTGTGCTTCTTTACTGAGGAAAAAATGCGGCCCACTTTTCTAACAGTTGTGTTTTGATTGGAGCCCACTTCAAATTCGCCATTATGATAGGTCAAACCTACCCATAGTTTACCCGTGGACAGCGTTGTGATTGGTCAGCTCCCATGTATACTGTCTGTGATAAAACTATTCACACCGTAAAAGACATATCTGATTGGTCCAAACAGTTTACCCGCATTTTTGCCAGCGGGAGGTTTACCCGTACCTTTCCCGTTTTGGGACGTCACCTACTCGTCCCACAGACCCACGTAAAGTGGGTCCTCACCACCTGTCTGTGTCAACCACCTGGCTGTGTCACTTCACCGCTTCAAGCCTCTATCTTGACCTCAACAACGGCACATTATGAAGAATAAAGAGCTTACGCTTGAAAGGCGCGTAGCCGAGGCTATTAAAGCCATTGAGGCAAATCCCAATATGTCCCCGCGCTGCGGCTAAGGAATTTGGGGTTCCACGCGAACGACTCCGCTTGCGATTTCACGGCATCCAACCTCGCAGCGGCCATAAAGCAACGCATACGAGGCTATCGCCAGCTCAAGAGGACTCAATCGATCTGTATATCGATCGTCTTGAGCGTATAGGACTTGCGGTGCGGAAGGACTTATTACGCGATGCAGCAAATCGGGTTCTAAGCTCCACGGTCGGCCCTGATGGTACCCGCAACGAACCCTTCGACTCCCAATGCTTTGTTGGCAAAACTGGATATCCCGTTTTATTAAACGCAAGGGATATCATATTATGAAGCAAAAGGTACTCGATAACCAACGCAAGCTTGCCGAATCAGTCCCGCACGTTACCGAGTACTTCAAGAAGCTCCACGAGACGATTGCCTCGTACGGGATTAACCCGGCTGATATCTGGAATATGGACGAGACGGGCTTCCGTATTGGTATTGGCAGGGACCGTTGTCGTCACGAAATCAAGGCGATCGCAATACTTTGGTATTGAGGAAAACAGGAGTCGGCAACAGCCGTTGAAGCGATTTCTGCCGATGGTCGATACATCCCTGCGTTTTTGATCCTATCCGGCAAGGTCCACCTCGAACAGTGGTACGGCATCAAGGAGCTAGATGGCGATACCCTTATTGGTGTTACGGAAACGGGATTTACGAACGATCAGCTCAATCTGCCGTGGATTCAACATTTCGATAAGCATGCAAAGAGCAAAGGTGCTTGGAGGCTATTGCTCCTTGACGGCCACGGCTCCCACCATACCCTTGACCTTATCGAGTACGCTGAAGCCCATAATTCAGCCCGAAGGGCGTTCTACTCAGTCAGAAAGAGTCGAGCATAAAACCTCTTCTGATTGGCCAATTAGCCTCCCCTGTGCTCAACTCGCGAACGAATTGGTCGGCTGATAACGCCACCAAATGAAGGCCCACCATAAACCCCTGAGCGTTGACTAGGTAACCAAGGAGCTCTCCAAGGGCTCGCCAAGAGCTTTCACTTCTTTCTCTTTTCCGTCGAATCTATCAAACGCATTGGTTTGCTAACGGTATCTAGGTTTCACACATCACCTCCGCGGCCGACCTACCTCTCAATATTCCCCGGTTACCTTACCTCCAGGCAAGCTGTACAGTCTCCTCCTACATTGTTTAGACCTGATCTAACTACCGCAAAGACAGCCTCCCTATTGAGATCTATCACGGTCTTGGACCTCTCGGCTGTCAGCCAGCTCTGCTAGCACCGCCAAACCCTCGCAAAGCCTCCCTGCCCGAGCAATATATAGCAGCTTAGGTCGATACGAAGTGGATATATACTGTCAGATGGAGAACGATACACCCCAGGCGGTCCGCAACTGCCGTACCTGCAAGCAAGACCTGCCCGAAGTCGAGTTTCGAAGCGTCAAGGACCCTACAAAGTTCACAACAGAGTGTGCTAACTGTAGGGCACGCCGAAGGGAGCGGATAACCGAATCCCGAGCCGTCGTCGCCGCAATGCAGAAGATCGCCTCGAAGCCATTGCCACGCAGAGCCTCGAAGAGGACCGATTCACTAGCTAACCTGACGCCTCCAAGGCGGACTGCACTTTTGTGCTAAGCACGTCTATATCACAAGAATGGCTTCCTGCCACTCCTTCATTACTGCCACAGAGTCATTGCCGCGGCCGTTATACACGTCAAGTCAACATGAACCCCCGGCCACGGCCACAGCCTCAAGAGCGACAGTTCGATCAGATGGTTGATCCGCCCTTTACAGGGGACCTTAACTTGCCTGCCCTTAGTGAGGAGGATCGGGCTCTTGTGCAGGAGTTCTATACTGCCCTGAATGACGACAAGGTGCATAGTTGCATTCGCTGCCAGGAGCGTTGGTTCGATATGAAGCGAAATAGCTCGAAAATCTGCAGTCGCTGCATTGGCCGAGACAGGAAGAAAGCCCTCGACGAGCCCTACTTCTTTAGCGCTGCGAATAACCTTGATTTTGGGGAAGTCCCCGCCAATCTACCTGATCTAACGATGGTCGAGGAGATGCTCATCGCTAGGGTTCACGTACATGTGAAAGTCTTGCAGGTGCGTGGCGCTCAATACAAATATCGCGGTCACGTTGTCCACTTCCTTCGCAATGTTGGCAGGCTCTTTGAAGAGCTCCCAGTCCTACCTGAAGAGCTAGATATCGTCCTCCTGCGGCCTCCTAATGTGGAGGGCGACCTCGCTTTCGGCAACAGTTTGCTCGCGATTTCCGGGTACGTCGCTCGTGCCTGTCGGCCTGGCTGCATTACCTACACCGTCACCACCCGGGCTATCGCGATATCGTTGTGAGCCAGAATCGCCTGCAACGTCTTCCTCTTGATGGCAGCATAGTTGCTTCCATTGCCAGCCAAGTGGCTGACATAGCTGACGGCGAGGTCCCCCAAGGTCCCGTTGAGGAGGTTGTGGAAGAGGACCCTAGCGATGCCGATGCATCAGCGATCCCGAATTTGCAGGTCACTGATACCGAATTGAACGCTCTGCAGTCCCGATTTCTTGATGGGACCCTAACCCTGGGCGCATGACTGATCTGGAGTATATGCCGCGTAGCGCGCAGACTCACCACCAGATGCCACTGCCTTCCATTCGCAGGACCCCTATCGACGAATTCAACCGTTCCCAGCCGCTGTTAACGCTCGCGTTCCCTACCCTCTACCCTGACGGCAAGGCCGACTTCGTGGAGCTTCGCTTACGGAGCATCACGTATCAGGACTACCTTGGCCATGCGATGAGATGGCATGACGGACGTTTTGCCCGCCATAAGACGTGGCCTTTCGTCGCCCTCAATACGATGTTACGTGCGCAGGTCCGAAAGCGAAGTGACTACTTCGTCAAGCAACGCGACAGCCGCCGTCAACCCCTTACCCGCGCCGACCTAGAGGGAGCGATGGCTGAGCCTGACGAGCCGGAGGCTCAGGCGCTGATCCAGTCAATCACGCGCCAAGCCGCGGTAATCAGGGGCACCCGGCCGTATTGGTATAAGCAAAGGAAGGAATTGGAAGCATATGCCATAATCTAGGCAAGCCTGGCCTTTTCGCTACTGCAAGTGCAGCCGATTACCACTGGGAATCCCTATACCGTCATATGCCTCGATTTGACGAGTGGCAAACAGCTCCTGAGGTGGCGCGGATGGCTCTATCCCGGCAACTGCTGCGGACAACGCCCACATCGCTGCTTACCACTTCCATAAACGTTATACGCTATTTAGGACTATTGTCCTGAAGCAGAAGTTCAACCTAACGGACTCTTGGGGCCGCTACGAGTGGCAGGGCAGGGGTTCCAGTCACCACCACGGCCTATATTGGCTAAGCGGCCACCCAGACTTAGATCCTGACAACGATCAGTCCCGGGAGCAATTCGCCCGCATCTGGGGATATCATGTATCTGCTGTCAACCCAGAGACTCAGCGAATACAGGCGCCTGGAGAAGGGAATCCCCTGATCGGCAATCTATTGGAGCAGCCCCTTACGGTTCAGTTCCTATCAATGGTGGTCAACCGCGTGCAACGCCACCGCTGCAACAACTACTGTATGCAGCTCAATAAGCATACCAAGCAGGTGGAGTGCCGCTTTGGATTTCTCACGGACAGCGCCTGCTAGCCTCCCTGACAAGGTTCCTCATTCTAAGCACTGGAACTTCAGGGTCGAGAGGAACGATGGCCAGATTAACCACTACAACCGCTTGCTTACCGTTGCGTGGCTAGCCAATACAGATGTTTCGCCCTGCACGAGCCTCCAGCAGGTAATCGATTACGCGGCCAAATACTGCTCCAAGTCGGAAAAGAAGAGCGAGTCTTTTGCCCAGATCGGGAAGGCCCTGATGCCCCGGGTCAAGGACCACAACCACTATAAAGAAGGAACAGCCCCACCAAAGCTCTCACACAAAGAAAAACAAGCCCTTTATCAAGAGATACAGTTTCTATTATCTCAGCCAGGACCTGTCTTTATGGATTGTTACGATAACTCTGATTGGGAAGAAATAGTTGATGAATAGCTTCACTTCCCTAGTTAGGTAATAGCTCTTTGTCCTACAGTATATAAGCATGCGGCTTACACAGTGGCAGGGGGCCCTTGTGACCTTGAGGAGTCTAGTTTCTTTTGATCGCAGCCTTCGTATGTGTGAAAGATATGTGAAAGAACAGCTGGTGGGGCTGCCTCGGCAAAAGCTCAGCTGACTTCAAACCCGGAGGCCTCCCACTTACTTCCCCCAGTCGCCTCCGCCAGGCCTTGAGGAACGAAAGAGACGAAAGGACTCTGCCCCACCCTCAGCCACCCCCAGAATCCATTGGCCCAGAAATTTTGTCCCCTTTGCCTTGAGGAACGAAAGGACTCTTAGAGCGGGGGGGGGGATTTCGTGCCTTTTTCACCCAGAACCTCGCGAGTATTCAAACATACGCTTGGAAGAGGACCCCGCCACCAAAATTTGGCGGCGCATTCCCAACGCCCGCCCGCCCTGGCTTGCCGTGATATACGGGCCCAACCACTTTACTACACGGGCGCTCCTTACACGGGCTGTACTCATAGAGATCAAACCTCACCCAGGAAATTGCAGCGACTTAGATTGCGACGAACTGTAACGGTCTCAAACTGAGTGTTTTGTCAACTAGCTGAGCGACTGCAATTAGTATCCTAAAGCTGGAGAGAAAAGAAGAAAAAGAGAAAAACTGGAAAGAAAGTGGCGCGGGCTTCTTTCTGAGCGGAACTCTGGAGCTCGTGTGGGGGTTTTGTCGAGACTCGAGAACGGAGCCGAGACCCTACGGGCCTAGCCCTTTACACGAACCAAGCCGCCATGCCCAAAGCCAAAGCACCGGCGCTCGCAAAGTCCCTCGCCGCGCCGTTCTCGACCACAGCTGTGGCAGAGTGTCCGGATCCCGTCTGGTCTGCCTTCGTAGCGCTGGCGGTGGCGGTGGCAGGAGCGGATTGCACAGAACCGGTCTTGCTGTAGAATGCATTGCTGGCGCTCGACACGCGCTCGCCGAAGTCGCTGGCCGTCACTGGAACTTTGGCGTAACAGTTGTCTGGTCCCGAAGTCGGAATGTTTGTGAGCGAGATGGCCGCAGGGCGTTGATTGGTAATGCAACAGTAGTCGTTCTCGGGTTGGCCCTTCTGCACGAACCATCCCGGGCAGTCTGGCATTTCCTTGCCATTGTAGTTGACCCCATTCGCGAAGCCGATAGCGGCGGCGAGAAGGAGTGAAGGCAAGTAGCTCGAATGCATTATGGAAATATAGGACAGGTTTGGTGAAAGAAGATGAGTTTCAGGAAACAAACAAGTGGAAACGGAGTAAGTAGATATGGAAGATTCAAGGACTCGGGATAAGGAATAGAAGAGAGGGCAGATTTCGGGGAAGATGATGTGATATTTATACAGGAAAATACTCATAGTGTTCCCTAGTTCCAAACTCCTACGTAGAGTGAGAATCACTCCATACATCGGTCAATCTAGATGTACCTAGAACTTTGCGGCAACTTCCAGTCTTGAGGACATTCAGGGACGAGTCTACCTGAGATGATCTAATTTACAGGCAGGGATGGACATCTTACGAACGGGAATCGAATCGATAGATTCATTCGATGCCAAGTCTTACAAATATCGAATCGAATTTCTTGGCGTTCGATTCGATGTCGAATCTGCCACGGCCCCGTTCGATTCGCATCGAATCGAACGCGGAGTGCCTCGTTCGACGTTCGACAGCATCGAATCGAACGTGGCGTTTTTCGTTCGACAGACGAATCGAACTGAGGTGCATTTTAGTGCCCATCGAATCGAACGGCACCCAGGCGTTCGACCGAATTCGATCGAATCGATCGAATGAGTGATGCGGTTCGCGAAAATCACCGCGGAGAGCCTTTACGCGCGTCTTCTTAGACGCGTTAGTCGGCCCCTGTTGGTGCCTGACGCGACCAAGCGTGATTTGACCTCTTTATCGACCAAACTAGGTTAAGGCGCTAAGACATGTTAGTATGTACAGCTAAACCCCACACAACTACGTGACAGAATTAGTATCTTGCAACTCCAGCAAACATGCTCTACGGAAACTCATTGATGGCTGTTCTATAAAATCTATAAAATCATGACGAAACTCTAAAGTGCAGGGTCACCATAAGTTCCCATGGCGACGTTGTATACGTGCGATATGTTGGAACGAAATCTCAGTCATAGTGGGATTGATACCATGGCGCCAGAGCTAAGAAATTATTATTATTATTATTATTATTGTATTTTCCGTCCAGCGACCTTTAGGTCGCTCAGGTCCCCGAGACGGGGCACAGGACGTGCTGAGCTGCTGGAAGTCTACTATCGCGGAGTAGGCCCACAATACGCGAAACGAAACGAGTACCAATCCGCGTCTTCTGCCCCCCCTGAAACAATGCCGCGGAAAAGCAAGAACAGCACCAAGCGCAACTCGAACCAATTCGAGTTGCTCGATGACGAGGATGACGGTACGAACGACAATGTGGCCTGTAGCATCATTGTGGCCAATTCGACAAGCGCGGCCGACGCGACAAGGACCAGCGCTCGCGGTCGCCCTCTGAAACCGACACTGCAATTCGACCCAGAACCGCGCCCATCACGAAAGAAATCCGCCGTCCCGAAAGCGAAATCGACGAATGCCGACCCCGGTGCCAACGAGGATTCATTGGCACGAATCGAAGCTCTCCTGAAACGCGTCGAGGAGCGGGCCGAAAGGGCGGAGAAACGCGTCGAGTCCTTGGAAGAGTTCATTCGAAACGAGCTCTTCCCACGCGTCGCTAGCCCTCCGGAGTCCGCCACTCGAAATGCGCCTCATCAGCAACAGCAACAGCACCTGCCACCTTCGCCACCACCCTCTCCAGTCCCAGGACCACTGCCAGGCATTGGGTTGGACGTGAGTCGGGTCCTAGATAGTGACATAAAGGAAGGCAATGCCGGCACTATTCGTCGGCGCGCGAACGCTGCCCTTGAGAATTTGGGTGACCTGTCTTGGCGTCAATTCTAAAGGAAACGGGCGTTTTCGGCTTCTCTTTCGAGAGACGGACGTCGATAAAGTACGGCAGAACGACACCTGGATAAGGACACATTTCGACAAGGGAACGCTATATGGGGATCAGTGGTACCTCTACGGGTTGATAGAGCCCATCGTGGGGTTGCGACGGATGATATCGGATGCGCCGTGTTTGGGCGGATGAACGGGGTGAAAGTGCACAAGATGCGATGGCTCGGGACAGCGTCTGTCGACAAGGAATACCGCTCTCTGGTGGTACACCTGGATAAGAAAGAGGAGGTGGACAGGTTGCTTGCAAAACGAACGGTTGAGATGGCGAATGGCGAGTGTGCATACACGCGACCATTCGTTCAGGACTTCAACCAGCGAGATGCTACCGTTGCCACCTCTACGGACACTTGCATTATCGCTGCAAGGCCCCAGCTCCGATCTGTGGACAGTGCGCCCAACCGGGCCATTCTGCGTCGACTTGCACCTCGAACGTTTTCAAGTGCAGCGTGCGGTGGAAAAGGAGCACACAGCTACAGATCCTGGGTGCCCGGTATATCGCCGGGAACTCGCCAAGTTACGACCGTCGCCCTACTAACATACATCCTCTGTCTTAACCTTTTCTTTTCAGCACAAACCTCTACCTATACCTGTGGTTGCCCCACAGCTGGTAGGTTAGCTACACCGGACGGCTAAAGGCAGGTGGACTCTTCGTCAAATGCGGCGGAGGAGAGTGGTCTGTACCTCATCAGACAGGCTCCAGAATTGGAAAGGGACAGGTCAAATGAGCAAGAGACGGATTGAAGGATGTAAGAGAAATTTAGGCATTCGATCGGGACGAATTCCTTGGGCTCGTGTAAGGGGCTACGCCCCGATGTGTAGATCTGGCATGGCCAGACTAGTCACGTGCGAGCGCCACGGACACGACTCCTAAAGGGAGCGATGTAGACACGTCTCCCCTTTACACTCTTTGTAGCTCAATTTACATCAATTACGCCCAGCACCTGTGCCAACAGTGCTGACCCTGTAACATATTGAGCTACCAGTTAACAAAAGACAGGACAGACAGAAGGACAGACAGCAGGACAGACAGCAGGACAGACAGCAGGACAGACAGCAGGACAGACAGCAGGACAGTCAGCAGGACAGACAGCAAGACAGGCGATAGGCTAAACGACGAGACGGACGATCGATCGGACGACGAGACGGACGAACAAGATGGAGGACAATAGTAGTTATGCAGGGCACCGCGACCGGCGGCGCAACGAGCCGATGGAGGGAAGGAGCAAGAGCTCTTGCAGATCTTATCTGGGATCGCGGGAGACGAAGAACTGCGGAAGATGTTCACCGGGCTAGGCCTAGCAGCGCCACCGTTGACACCCAGCCCGGGGGTGCTCAGTACCCCGGCGATCTTACCCGTCGAACCGAGGCCGGAAGCAGCCCAGGAAATGGACCGTGGCAAGAAGCGCAAGCCGATGACTTGGCCGAAGTGGAACGGTCAACCCGAGTCCTTCCACTTCTACCTCGACCGTCTGGTATTTAAGTACAATACCGACGAAGAGGAGGGCCTAAACGGCAATAACAACGTCGTGTGGTACGAGATCCTGCAGACCTTGCCGGATCAGATGATGAGGAGAGTCGAGGGTTTTTGGAGGCAAGAGAGCGCGAAGGGCAACACAGACCCCCGGAAATTCTTCTCGCACCTAGCCCAGACGTTCGGCAGCGTGCAGCAGACAGAGAGGGCGCAGGACAGGCTGCGCACCCTCATTCAACGAGACAGCCAAGAGTTTGGGAAGTTCCTCCCTGAATTCGAGGAAACATTGACCAAAGCGGGCGGCGCGAGCTGGGATAATGCTTCCAAGCTCGCATGGCTACGGAACTCGATCTCTCCTGCTCTCCGTGAGCAACTAGTCCCGGTTATCATGCCGAAGGACTACAACGAGTACATCCAACGTCTACACCCGATTGCTTGGGCGTTCGAGCACACCGCGAAGTTTAAGGCGTTGCAGAGGAAGCAGGGCTCCCGCGGGCAACGTGACCAAGGGCAGGCATCAGGCATCGGCAACATCCAGGTCGCCGGTAACGACAACACCCCGGCACCGTCAGCAACGTTACCCGCCGAGCAGAACGCACGTGACGCACGCGACCATGACGGCGACGTAATAATGACGGTTACACGCACTCAGGGCAGGGTCAGAGAGGACGGGCGAACGGCCAGGGTCAAGTGGAACGAGCAAGACGGTTCGCTTCCAGCCTAGGTCAGGACGGAAGCAACGGGCGAGGTGGGTATCCGAGGACGAACGGAATAAACGCCGTGACGAGGGTCGTTGTCTCCGCTGCGGCGACAACACCCATTTCATTGCCGCTTGCCCCTACTCGCCAGGACAGGACCCTAGCCGGTCGAGGGATGTAAAAGTCCGCACCGCTAGGATCATGCCCTTGCTGGAAGATGATGGTAACGACTCTAGTGAGGAAGAGTCAGGACTTAGCGAGACCCCATCCTCTCGGAAATGCGTAGCCTCGAAACAAAGACGGGTCTCGAGGCCAAAGAACGGAGCAGTGGCAAAAGAAGAGAAGTTCTCAGGAAAATGGAAGTTGGTCCTACAATAATTCGAAGCATTATCAATAGGACCAATCTCTTCTCCTCACTCGTAGACGAGGGATGCCAGTGCTACGCCGCGGTTGACGAAGAAGTCGTCGAAAAGTTGGAAGTTCCTATAGTGGAAATAGCACCGCGAGCTATTACAGGAGCATCAGGGGCAATGGAAGGAGCAACGATTAGGGGCCTCGTATGGCTATCAATGGAGGTCAACGGCCACATACAGACGATCTGTGCCTACGTGGTGCCCCGATTGGAATTCCCCCTAATCCTAGGAAAACCCTGGTTATGCCACACAAAGTCGTACTCAGTGCCCCACGAGAAACGACTATGGCATGAACCTACACAAGACTGGGTAGATCACCTCGGGAAGGAGAATATTCTGCGAAAGCCAAGGAGTTCGAAGAAGCAAAGCACGTACTAGCCAGTACCTTTGTGGGTTACTTTGAAAGGATCCGCAAGCAGGAAGGAAGAGAGGCAGCTGCCACGGCGATTTTCGCTATCAGCATGAAGGATATCGAAAGGGCGTTATCACCAAAGAAACCCATGTCAGAAGCAGAGCTACGCCGAACGATACCCCAGCGGTTCCACGATTTACTGCCTCTATTTATGAAGAAGGAAGCTGATAAGCTGAATCCTCATAAGCCAGGCATAGACCACGAAATCAGAATCAAGGAGGACCCGAATGGCCAGCAGTTACCACTACCGTATGGAGCACTATACGGTATGTCACGAGAGGAACTCCTGGTTCTTAAGAAGACTCTACGAGACCTAGTGGATAAAGGATTTATCCGTGCAAGCAGTTCAGAAGCAGCAGCTCCAGTCCTGTTTGTGAGGAAACCAGGTGGCGGGCTGCGATTCTGTTGTGACTACAGAGCGTTGAACGCAATCACTAAGTCGGACCGTTACCCCCTTCCTCTAATAGGGGACACACTTCGCAACCTAAAAGATGCGAAGTGGTTCACTAAGGTCGACGTGGTACAAGCGTTCCATAAAGTACGGGTTGCAGAAGGAGACGAGTGGAAGACAGCGTTCCGCACCCGGTACGGTCTCTTCGAATGGATGGTTACCCCGTTCGGGCTAAGTGGCGCGCCAGCAACCTTCCAGCGGTATATTAACGGTATCCTACGAGACTACCTCGACGAGTTCGCCTCTGCTTATATGGACGATATACTTATCTATTCGAGCGGGAGCAGAGAAGACCATTTCCGGAAGGTACGGTTAGTTTTAGAACGCCTCGCCGAGCATGGACTACACCTAGACCCGGAGAAATGCGAATTTGGAGTCAAGCGGATTAAGTACCTAGGATTCATTATTCACGCAGGAATTGGCATTCAGGCAGATCCCGACAAGATACGAGCAATAGTCGAGTGGGCAGTCCCCGTTACCCAGAAGGGGTGCGCAGTTTTCTAGGATTCGTTAACTACTACCGGATATTTATACCGCAAGCCTCGGAAATAACTGCACCCTAACAGCACTAACAGGAAAGGGGACTAAGTTCAAGTGGACGGACGAGCACGATATGGCGTTCCAGACACTAAAGACGCTATTTACGAACGCCCTATTCTTACTCAATGGGATTTCGAGAGGCCAACCTTCGTAGAAGCAGACTGTAGCGGCTGGGCGCTTGGGGCACACTTACGCAGGAAGTCGACGGACAACGCAAGCCAGTAGCGTTCCACTCGCAGAAGCTATCACCGGCTGAGCGCAACTACCCAATCCATGATAAGGAAATGCTCGCTATTATTCGTTGTCTCGAACAATGGTCAGCCGAGCTACGAAGCTGTGATAACTTCGTTATCCTTACCGACCATAAGAACCTCGAGTATTTCATGACGCGCCAACAGCTCTCGGAAAGGCAGGCACGTTGGGCTGAATATCTCTCGCGTTTTAACTTCCAGCTCCAGTACCGTCCGGGACGGAAGCAGTGGTGCCAGACGCGCTCTCGCCGCGAACAGGACCGACCAAACGAAGCGGATCACGAAGCACGAGATATGCAGCTTATTCCAGAAGCAGCCCTACGTACCTACGTCGGAGTAACGTCGACTCAAGCGGGAGAAGGCGAAGAAGAACACACGGTTTTCCACGACCCAGAGCTACAACAATTATGGCAGCAAACGGCAAACCAGGATCCAGTCTTTACAAGCGTTTATAACGCGGTACGAAACGGATCTCGGTCCTCGACCCCAAGCTTAAGCTGAAGGTACAAGTCGCCGAGTGCTTTATTGATCCTCGGGGCACCTACGACTACGTGGCCGCTTATGGGTGCCAGGCGCACCGATCACGACAGAAGCAGCAGCCAAGGCAGCACCGCTAGAGCAGGAGTCGCTAAACGAATTACGGGCTCCTTAATCCAGAAGGTTCATGACTCCCATGTAGTAGGCCACCCGGGACGGAAGGGACGATAGAAGCCGTATCCAGGGACTTCTACTGGCCGCTAATGCAACAGCATATCCGACGTTTCTTGCGTAACTGCGATGTCTGCGGCCGTACGAAGATATGGCGCGAGCATAAAGGGGTCTACTTAGACCGCTACCCGTACCGGACCGCTTCTTCCGCCAGATACAGATGGACTTTATTACGGACCTCCCTTGCGAACGGTAACCGCTGCCTCTGGGTTATCAAGGACCGGCTAAGTAAGGAAGTTATACTCGAACCGATGCCAACGATGGAAGCGGAAGCATGTGCAGAGCGTTTTCTATGGTGCTTCGCCCGCTACCACTGGTGGCCCGACGCTATAACGAGCGATAGGGGCTCGAATTGGGTAGGCCGCTTTTGGAGGCACATGTGCAAGTTACTGGGGATCGACCAGCAGCTAAGCACGGCGTACCACCCCCAAACCGACGGAGGCCCTGAGAGGATGAACCAAGAAGTACAGGCATACCTCCGCGCCGTGATTAACCAGAACCAGAACGACTGGGATAAGTGGGTTCCCGCGGCTCAGATGGCGTTAAACGGTCGGGTCAATACCTCTATAGGGATGTCCCCATTCTTCGCTATACACGGCTATGAGCCGAAGTCACCAGTTCCCCTCGTTACGGAAGCATATGCGGAAGAGTATCCTCAGCATTCGCCAGAAACCAGGGCAAAGAAATTTGTTACCAAACTACAACAGATTACGGACCTCTGCCAAGCATCAATGGCGACAGCTACGCAGCAACAAGAACGCTTCGCTAACAGACGACGGAACGCGGCAGAACGCTTCGAAGTAGGCGATAAGGTTTGGCTTGACTTACGGAACTACGCGTCAGAGCGACCTAAGAAGAAGTTCGACTGGCTGCACGCTAAGTATACGATAAGCAAGGTACTCGACCCGTACACGGTTGAACTAGCAGACCTCCCGAGGGGCTGCTATAATAGGTTCCACGTCGACCAACTCCGGAGAGCGGGGACGGACCCAATGCCTGGTCAGCAACGCACAGACGCTCAACCCCATCTATCCAAGTAGACGGGAGGCTCACCAAGTAGTAGAGGAAATACTATGCGCTAGGTGGAAGAGAACCGGCCGCGGCCGTAGGCGGAAGTCCTTGTACGCTGGCAAGGTTGGCAAGACCCGACCTGGACCTCTTTAGACAATATGCAACAGACAGCGGCCTTGGATAAGTACGAACAGAGATACGGCCCGGCTCTCGAAAACGATGGACCATACCAGCACCGACGAGTGGCAACGGAAGCACAGCCGGCCCAAATCCAGGGGCAAGTCGAAGGAATACAACCACAGCTGCAGATACAGGGCAAGAGAATACGCGGACCACTACGGGCTAGGACTAATGGCGACGCCCCGTCGATAGTAACGGCACCAGACCCTATAGACGACGGCCCTACGATCGTTGTAGAGGGGACCAGGAACAGGAAAAGGGCACCAGCGCCAGAGAGGAGTAGGGGTGTGGGCTACGCCCCGATGTGTAGATCTGGCATGGCCAGACTAGTCACGTGCGAGCGCCACGGACACGACTCCTAAAGGGAGCGATGTAGACACGTCTCCCCTTTACACTCTTTGTAGCTCAATTTACATCAATTACGCCCAGCACCTGTGCCAACAGTGCTGACCCCGTAACAGCTCGGAACCGAGTATTGGACAACTCTAGAATAGGCTTAGCGAGTCTGACGCGGTGCCTCTGACTATCGTCAATGGCGAAATAAACATCATCATCAAGTCCCAGCCGCTTTCAAGGTGAACTCCGGATGGGCCATCAGAACAACAGATGCGACCATTCGGGATCTTATCGTCCAACGACAGTCGGAGTGGTCCCAAGACATGGGCGCGACAGATGTAGAAATCAGCCAGAGATGGTACACCTACGCCGTGGCAAACTGCCCCTATATTCTTACCGACCTACAGGGAAAGAATTGACTACGAGCCAGCCGCCAAAGATGAAATCGCCTGCCAGACCGGCCTCAAACCCATCAGGGTGCGCCCCGCCAGGCGCAAGCCGAACGACCCCCTGACCTGTACCTTGATTGTGTCATTCCTCGAACCGACTGATAAGCCCTGGAGGCTGTTTGGATCCAGTCGGCTCGCCCAATACATTGAGAGATCTAGCCTGCCCAGCCAGTGCGACAAGTGCTGGGACTTTCACGCCCGACACACCTGCGACCGACAAGCATCCTGCAAGCGGTGCGGACGGCGCGGCCACGACGCGGAAGCTTGCGTGGCCCTCGAGCGGTGCGCGAACTGCCTTGGGCCCCACGCCGCAGACTTTGCGAAGTGCCCTGCGCGCCCGAAGCGATCACACGGCGTCATTCGCCGTCTGACGAGAGAAGAGAAATCTCGCGCCCGAGAGCTGGGCGCTCAACTGTCCGCCCGGCGAAAGGAACAATACGAAAGAGTAGAACGATCCGAGCAGCCCGAACGGGATGCCACCTGCTCGCCGGGTGGTGTCACCGAAAAGACAGTAACGCCTGGGCCTGACAGGAAGACCGCCTCGGAATCGACGCACCTCACCCCGACCTCAAGTGCTGCCCGGGACGACGGACAGCAAGCCCAACCTCATGACGAAGCCCCACGGCGCGGTAGCGAATCGACCCTAAGCTCGACCAGGACCGTAACCCCGCCTTCCGTCATGATGGCCTCGGCACCCGAACCTCCGGGTGGAGGCCAACGACACAGATCTGCTTCTCCTACGAAGAAGCGACGCATCATTGAGGACTCTGTCTCTCCATGACGAGATACCCACGCACAAATCAATGTGGCAATAAGACTCTGCGAGTCTTCCAAGCGAACGTGGGCAAGATCTCGCCGGCGCACGACTGCGCCCTTGCCCTCGCCGATTCCGAACATTACGATGTGGTGCTCCTCCAGGAGCCATGGACAGAAACAAAGGGCGGCCGATGCCTTACCAAAACACATCCCGCCTACGACACCTTCTCCCGGTTGACAGCTGGGAAGACAATAGCACCCGACCCAGAGTCATGACCTATGTCCGCCGCAGGCCTGGACTGATGGTAGATCAGAGGAGGCCCGCGGCAACTCGTGACATTCTTTGGCTCACGGTCAACGACATCACTTTGGTCAACGTTTACCGCCAACCGTCATACGACGAGGCCCTCGACATACTACTCCAATGGCCCGCGCCAAACAGATGTCTGGTAGCAGGCGATTTCAACGCCAAACACCACAGCTGGCAAGCCGGCCGCATCGAGGGCCGCGGCGAGGCTGTAGCTGCATGGGCGACAGCCAACGGTCTGAACCTGCTCAACCCGGCTGACGTCCCGACAAATCCTCATGGCAATACGATCGACCTTGCCTTCTCTAATATCGCCTTGGCCAATGCCGTGGTGGAAGACCATCTTGCCACCAGCTCCGACCACTTCACGCTCAGCACTACCCTGCCTGAGCTCGCTGTAGCGCCCCCACCCACTGGGAAGGTTCGCCTTACCTCTGACGAGGAAATAAGACGCTTCGTAGAGATGGTTGAAAACGGCGTGGCGGCTATCGAGCCGTCAACCGCTTCCCTCAAGACTTGGATTCACTTGCCTTAGCAGTGACTAACCTACTTCAGTTTGCCGCCAAAGCTGCAGGCCGGCCGGTCCGCAAGGGCGCACGCAGCGCGCCCTGGTGGACGGAGGAATGCTCCTGGCCGCGGTGGAGTATCGCGCAGTGAGGAGAGTCTACGCTCGGTTTCGGCCGAGAGGTTCAGCTCGCGAAAAGGAATTTCCAGAGAGTCGTGCGGCGAGTCAAGCGCCGTTACTGGCGCGATCTGATTGACAGCTTCACGGACAGTGCGTCCGTCTTCAAGGCGGTCCGTTGGCTGAGATCGCCCGGTGCTTTCCAACCACCGCCTCTGCAAGTGGATGATACCGTCTATGAGACCCAACTAGACAAAGCCAACGCCCTGCGACGAGCAACGCTCGAACGTCGCACTTCGCAGGATGACATCACGGATCCGTGGGTCCCAGTGGACACAGCGAGGACGATTCCTTTCGCTCAGAACGTTTCCTGGAGGAGGTCCGTGACGCGACCCTTCGCACGGGTAACACCTCTCCGGCTCCGATAACATTACGGTCAAGATGCTCCGTGCCGTCTGGCATACCATTGGAAGCCTCGTCCACAAGCTGTATCAGGGCTGTCTCGACATCGGTCACCATCCTAAGCCTTTCAGGAAGCGGAAGTGGTTATGATCACGAAGCCGGGGCGTCGGAACCTGTCAGAGGCCCGCGCCTGGCGTCCAATCTCTCCTCTCCTGTCTGGGCAAAGGCCTCGAACGGCTTATTGCGCGCCGTTTGGCGTGGGCATCCGTCCACTATGGTGTCTTGCACCCACAACAAGCTGGCGCATTGCCGAAAAGGTCCGCTGTTGACCTTGTCGCCGCATTGGTACACGACATCGAGGAGGCTTTCGCGCAAGCAGGTCGCCACACTCGTGACAATGGACGTCGAAGGCGCCTTCGACACTGTCCTTCGTAGCAGGCTCATTCTTCGCCTTCGGCAGCAAGGATGGCCTCGAATGTCGCTCGTTGGGCTGGCTCCTTATGCATGACCGAGCAGCACGTGTCCGCTACCAGGATGTCATGACACCTCGTCACCCTTGCAGTGCGGACTGCCGCAAGGATCGCCAGCTTCTCCCATACTTTTCCTACTATACACAGAGCCAATCTACCGCCTGAGCAACCCCAAGGGCGCTTCGGCTATGCAGACGACACTGCCGTCCTTTGCGTCGGAGACTCCCTGGAGGAGACTGCCCACAGAGCGTCGAAACATGTTCACGAACTCATGACATGGGGCACCGCGAACGCGATAACCTTCGACCCCAAGAAGACTGAAGTCATGCACTTCTCCCGAACTACACCGAGGAATGCACCTCCAGTCTTCCATGGCGAGGTAGAAAAGCGGCCAGGCTCAGCCATGCGGTGGCTCGGCATCTGGCTTGACAGCACCCTGACGTTCAAGACGCACGTCGAGAAGTGGACTGCCAAAGCGCAATCAGTGGCCTACCATCTCAAGGGTTTGACAAATACCAACCGCGGCCCCCTACCAGGTGCGGTCCGGAGAGCCGTCCGCGCCTGCATCGAGCCGCAATTGTTCTTTGGGGCAGAGGCGTGGTACCCGGGCATGACCTGCCCGCGATGGAATAAGCCGGCAAAGGAAGGGCCATCAAGAATACGGCACCTCATCCGGCGGATGGACAAGTCGCTCAACACGGCCATGCGAGCCATCCTCCCGGTCTGGAAGACGACGCCGCTCAGCGCCAGGCACCGGGAGGCGGGCATACCGCCAGTTTCGCACCTGCTCCAGGCGTGTCGAACGCGCTTCGCAGCCCGTCTCAAGTCCTCGACGAAGCGCACCCGCTTGCGGTGCGAACGAAGCCGATCCGGGCCCCTGTCATCAACAGGGCCATTAAGTTAAAATACCAGCGTCCACGACAACCTTTCCGGACCAGACTGCGTCGCACTGACGAGCTGCTCCCAAGGTGCGCCAGGCCAGACCTTCTCGCACGTAGGTTCGCCAGCGACCAGCGTGGACCCTGCAAACTGCGCCAAAGAAGAATCGGCGGCAAACTTCGGCGAGTGGCTCCAATCAGTTGCTCCACGGACAGCAATCGTCTACTCGGACGGATCCTCTCCCGGAGGGAGCCGCGGGTACGGCTATGCGGTACATCAGGATGGACTCACCGTCCTCAGCGGTAACGGCCGTCTTGGGCTTGCTGAGGTCTTTGATGCCGAGGCGAGAGGCTCCTAGAGGGTCTGCGTGCTGCGTTGAGCCTCCCGGCTGCAGACCAGATTGTCGTATGCCTCGATAACCTCGCGGTCGCGACGTGTCTTCAAGGCATGCCATCAGATTCCTCCCAGAAGGAGTTCCTGGAATTCCAGGCCTTGGCCGCAGAACATGGTGCCACTGAGATCCGCTGGATCCCCGGCCACACCAACATCCCAGGTAACGAGCAGGCAGACGCCTTAGCAAAGGCAGGAACCTCTCAACCCGAGCCTGCAGACGCTCTCCCGACGCTGGCATATCTGCGCAAGGTCGCTAGGCAGCGACCAAAAGACGCATTCAAAGCCTGGTGGAAGTTTCTGCACCCCAACAGTACAGGGTCCTCGACCTCGATGCCACGACTGGCTGCCCGCCAGAACTTACCATTCCACGACCTCTGCTCCACCATCTGCTCGCAGCAAGAACCCACCACGGGGACTTCGCTGATTACCACGAAAGGTTGAACCACGACGATGCGCGACTGACGTGCTCATGTGGTCGACGAAAGAACCAAAGCATCTCTTCTATTGCCGGAAGATCGCGCCGCGACATCGGATGAGGTTGGCACCTCACCGAGCGCGGCGGTCAACCGAGCAATAGGCAGAGACTTCGACCAGTTCGTCAAGGTGGCGAAGGCAAGCTCGTTCTTTGGAACGATCTGCCCTCGCCACTAGGCGGCAGCAACCGCTTTCCTCCTTCCCTTCCCTTTGTTTGCACACACACCCATTCTCTCTTACCCGACTCGGCCGGGCGGAGGGTGCTCTCCGGAACCGGCCCTGTGAGGCCAAAACGAAAGACATGGCTGTCGCGCCTGAACGTCCCGCTGACGGGCAGCAGGCTGAGCAAAGAAGCGCCTTTGAGCCGATGAAATGCTGAATGGTGGATTGTTTACGTTCTGTGGAAGGGGCAGAAGACGATGATACGTCGATAAAGTACGGCAGAACGACACCTGGATAAAGACACACTTCGACAAGGGAACGCTATATGGGGAACAGTGGTACCCTCTACGGGTTGATAGAGCCCATCGTGGGGTTGCGACGGATGATATCGGATGCGCCGTGTTTGAGCGGATGAACGGGGTGAAAGTGCACAAGATGCGATGGCTCGGGACAGCGTCTGTCGACAAGGAATACCGCTCTCTGGTGGTACACCTGGATAAGAAAGAGGAGGTGGACAGGTTGCTTGCACAACGAACGGTTGAGATGGCGAATGGCGAGTGTGCATACACGCGACCATTTGTTCAGGGACTTCAACCAGCGAGATGCTACCGTTGCCACCTCTACGGACACTTGCATTATCGCTGCAAGGCGCCAGCTCCGATCTGTGGACAGTGCGCCCAACCGGGCCATTCTGCGTCGACTTGCACCTCGGACGTTTTTAAGTGTGCAGCGTGCGGTGGAAAAGGAGCACACAAGGCTACAGATCCTGGGTGCCCGGTATATCGCCGGGAACTCGCCAAGTTACGACCGTCGCCCTACTAACATACATCCTCTGTCTTAACCTTTTCTTTTCAGCACAAACCTCTACCTATACCTGTGGTTGCCCCACAGCTGGTAGGTTAGCTACACCGGACGGCTAAAGGCAGGTGGACTCTTCGTCAAATGCGGCGGAGGAGAGTGGTCTGTACCTCATCAGACAGGCTCCAGAATTGGAAAGGGACAGGTCAAGTGAGCAAGAGACGGATTGAAGGATGTAAGAGAAATTCAGGGATTAGATCGGGACGAATTCCTTGGGCTCGGAACCGAGTATTGGACAGCTCTAGATTAGGCTTAGCGAGTCTGACGCAGTGCCTCTGACTACTCGTCCCACAGACCCACGTAAAGTGGGTCCTCACCACCTGTCTGTGTCAACCACCTGGCTGTGTCACTTCACCGCTTCAAGCCTCTATCTTGACCTCAACAACGGCACATTATGAAGAATAAAGAGCTTACGCTTGAAAGGCGCGTAGCCGAGGCTATTAAAGCCATTGAGGCAAATCCCAATATGTCCCCGCGCTGCGGCTAAGGAATTTGGGGTTCCACGCGAACGACTCCGCTTGCGATTTCACGGCATCCAACCTCGCAGCGGCCATAAAGCAACGCATACGAGGCTATCGCCAGCTCAAGAGGACTCAATCGATCTGTATATCAATCGTCTTGAGCGTATAGGACTTGCGGTGCGGAAGGACTTATTACGCGATGCAGCAAATCGGGTTCTAAGCTCCACGGTCGGCCCTGATGGTACCCGCAACGAACCCTTCGACTCCCAATGCTTTGTTGGCAAAAACTGGATATCCCGTTTTATTAAACGCAAGGGATATCATATTATGAAGCAAAAGGTACTCGATAACCAACGCAAGCTTGCCGAATCAGTCCCGCACGTTACCGAGTACTTCAAGAAGCTCCACGAGACGATTGCCTCGTACGGGATTAACCCGGCTGATATCTGGAATATGGACGAGACGGGCTTCCGTATTGGTATTGGCAGGGACCAAGTTGTCGTCACGAAATCAAGGCGATCGCAATACTTTGGTATTGAGGAAAACAGGGAGTCGGCAACAGCCGTTGAAGCGATTTCTGCCGATGGTCGATACATCCCTGCGTTTTTGATCCTATCCGGCAAGGTCCACCTCGAACAGTGGTACGGCATCAAGGAGCTAGATGGCGATACCCTTATTGGTGTTACGGAAACGGGATTTACGAACGATCAGCTCAATCTGCCGTGGATTCAACATTTCGATAAGCATGCAAAGAGCAAAGGTGCTTGGAGGCTATTGCTCCTTGACGGCCACGGCTCCCACCATACCCTTGACCTTATCGAGTACGCTGAAGCCCATAATATTGTGCTCTTTGCATTGCCTCCGCATCTTACGCATCTCCTTCAACCGCTTGACGTCGTGGTATTTCAGCCGTATAAACATTACCACAGTCGGGCAGTCGATTTTGCTATTCGCAGTGGTGCGAGTAAAATCACCAAGCTGGAGTTCCTCGCTATGATCCAATCAATCCGCGTCAAAGCCTTCAAGGAGTCTACAATCCTCTCGGCATTCAAAAACAGGAATCCACCCATTCAATCAAAGCCAATCCTCGAGAGACTCAAAGAGAGGGTACGGGACCAGACGCCGCCGACAGAGCTACCTGCAGAGCCGTATTCATCCCCTTTGGTACCCCATACCGTACGGAAGTTTGAATCAGTTGGCCAACGTCTCCTTGAGTTTGACCCAATTGATGATATTGAGAAGGAGGTCTTCGTACATAACCTTCAACGCTACGTTAAAGGTGCAATCTCCCAAGGCCACGAGTTAAAGCAAACGATGGTCGATCTGTACAATACCAAGCTTGCCGAGCAGCAACGCCAAGGCCGGAAGAAATACAAGAACCGCCACCTTCAAAGCGGTGGAGTACTGACTGTAGACGAAGGGAGGGCTATTGCGAAGTCAAAGGAAGATATTCGCATTGCAAAAGCAGAAAAGTTGGTACTGGCGAAGCAAAAGAGGGAGAAAAGGGCGATTGAGCTCGAGGAGCGACTAGGGCTGATATTTGAAGATTTTGAAGTCGAATCGGCCTCGGGACCCTTGAATTGAATGAAGCCGAATCGGGTAAGGTCTTCAAATTCGACGAATCAAAAATCAGGAGTCTTCATTCAATTCATTCATAAAATTGTGAATGAATGGCGATATGGTCGAAACGTAAGGCGAAAAAATTATCACCGCTTCGCGGCCAAGGGACATACAGGGAGGAAAGGGTCAATACCCGAAGCCACCCACCAAGGGCCTCTTCCTGTTCTTCCTCGGCAGGCTCACATACACATCAATAAACAAGCTGCTTTGACCCCATCATTAAGGGGTTTGCCCCGCGCGGACACGGTAACTTCGAGTTCGGCCGCGCTTGTGATGACGCTCTGCGTATTTAAAAGTCTGTTGTGCGTGTTTCAGTTGGATTCCACCGTCCACACTCCACTGGCAAAATCCTAGTCCCGCGCCGCCCGCGTCTGGCGGGGGCGTCGCTGGGGAAATCGAGGCGAAGGACGGCAGTTAGGGCGTCCATATATTGTGGTATAACGACCCTAACAGTGCCTGATACGCCACCGTTTCAGCAATCTTGCCACCCTATACGGAGTATTAAAAAACACCATGAAGCTCATGAACAGTGCCATTTTATAATGCACATGATTTAAATGTAGTGCCGCTCGAATGTTCTGGATTTTCTCGTTCGGATGATATAACCCTCGATAGTTACATGTCGTTAACATTTGCTCAAGAAATGCCACATCATCTTGAAGGCAATCAATGGATAGCCCATTTTTTGGTTGGAATACTACATTTCAAGCACATATTAAGCTCGGTGTCGGGAGGTCTGTACTGCAGTAACGCAATGGGTTGTATTCAAGATGTCTTGCTAGGAAGGGAGGAAAGGGAATGAGGGGGCACACTACGTGCCCTTTATACACGGATCCCCGAGGTCCATACACGTGACGCTAAGGGTCACGTGTGCGTGTGCGCACCTCCTTACAATCCTACTATAGCTATATGCTACATTCCCACACTGGCAAATCTTCTTTATCGCTGCAATCGCAGCAGTAGCAGCAGGTGCGGGAGCGTAGCAGCAACCGCAAGGGTGCGAAAAGAGTGACGGTTCGAGCGGCAGCTAGCGGGGAGGGCGTTCGACTGATCCTTCTATCCTAATCGTAAGGCTATTCGTATCGACGAGGCGTTCGAGGGCGCGGTTAGGCGATGCCTTTGTCATAGCATCTGCTGGGTTGTCTGCGCCGTTAATCCAGCGGATTTCTGTGATCTCACGCCTTTCGTAGGATTGACGTAGGCCATGATATCTATCATCAATCGCTTCTCCTTCGTTGTGCCTAGCTTAACGAGGCACTCGTAGAGGAAAAGAGTCGGTGCAAACGATTAGGGATAGGGGAAGATTGAGGCGGTCTGTGATCTTCCGTATCGTCGTTGCTAGTGATATCCCAATATCGAATCCGTTGACCATGCCGTAGATCTCTGATGCTAGCACGCTTCGGGTGACCCTCTTACACTTCGTTGAGCTCCAATGGAGGACATTGCCCTTGATCCCGAATTGGTCTTTGGTACGTGCGGTCTCGGTCTCATTGACTAGGGCAATGACGAAGCCTAGCTGTGACGATAGGTCCTTATTGTTCGCAAAGGAACCGTCGGTAAAGACGATAAGCTTGGCATTGGCGAGGTCAATAGGGATATACGTTAGGCCTCGCTGCTGGTGGTCTTTCTGCCATTGAAGCCGCTTGTTGAGGGTCGTGCAATCCTCTTCCGTAGGGTTTGGACCTGGGCAGCAATAGAGATGTCGAATGAGGCCTCTGGTTGACAGATTGAAGCCACATACGCGCCACGGGCACGCTGTTCCACGTACTGTTGGGCTCGATCGTATGCCTTGATGTCGATGGGTTCGATCTTGGCTGCTTGACCCTTTGTTGAAGCAGTAGAGCGTTGTGGAAAGTGGTGTCTTGG